TTATATGGATAAAAATATAAGTGATACTTGTACAGTAATTATAATATAATATAATACAGAAGATGCAGTTTTGTTGTGGTATAAAGTGAACAGTGCTGTAATTAACGTTTACACAAATTAAGAAATTAAAGAATGAATGATAAATGTTGAACAATGGAAGATAATTTTAGAAATCGATTAGGCCTTGTGAATTTTGTCCTTTACTTTTACATAAATAAACATAAATGTACTGTATAAGTGAATGACCATTTACACTCAGGACTCATCAGTAGACAGTACATATGTTGGGAAAAAGGTGTTACAAAACCACCTAGGATCATATTGCTAGTGGCAAGAGTAGCATAGCACGAGTAGCATTGTTTGGTAAATTTGTGCTTTTTTTTATTTGGCTTCTGGACAAACAAAGCTTTTGTTCAAATGTAATTAAATTGCTTCAGTCTCTCCTTAAAGGGGCATTAGCTGTCAAATTCATGTTCACCGATTTGACTCAAATTCTCATATTTGATTTTTTATCAATGAAACTAAAGGTATAAAAGGTAATGCCACTACTTATATTTTCACAAAATTTTCCACATATAGTTTTGATAAATCATTTTTTAATTGCCAATTACAGAGAAAAAGAGAAAGTTTACAAATCAGACATTTTTATTCCATTAAACAAGTCGTTTTTCGAAGAGAAATGCCGAAATACATTTTACGCTCGGCTACGCCAGGTAAAATTATTGTTTATCTTAACAAAAAAACAAAAAAATTCAGTCTCATTATAATGTTATAATTACAAATAATCCCAAACAAAAGTAGTCAGTAAATAAAGTCAAAATAGATCGATCTGCCTATTTTTGGACATCAAAATTCAATACGATCGTTTTAAGGCCAATTTCGTCTACCTCACAAAATCTTGTTAGGCACTATAAACAGTAAAGGTTAAAAATGTACAAGGACAATTAAAAAGAACACTATAACACGAAATTATAGAGCCAGAAGAGAGAGAGCCAGAAATACAATGGACAGCTCAAAGTAATGTAATAAAAGTGAATGTTAATATGAACAGATGTTCATGTTCTTTTCATCAGTGTTTGGTTCTCCCATGTATAGGCATATATTACGATCAAGAGAGGTAAACAAGAAGATCTATTTTCTGAAATCAAACAACACATAACAAGTGCAAGATGTCATTCAGCAAGAGGAAAATCTACTTGATTGTGTACCTTGTGTAGCAGATATTCAACATCAAGCAGGAATCAAAAAGCGTGGAACCTGGTGTAGCAGATATTCAACACCAAACAGGAATCCAAAAGCGTGGAACCTGGTGTAGCATATATTCAACACCAAGCAGGAATCAAAAAGCGTGGAAGGTCCAAGAGAATGACACTATCACAAACTGTAATAGGGTTGCAAAAAAAAACGTTTGCGCAAGAGTAGTTGTTTACCCTTTGAAAAGAAGAGTCAAAAGGAAATAGAGACTCTTTTGCTTGAGGTAGATTGCTGCTTAAGCTGTTATTTGAGATTTCTTGATCACAAAAGACTTTGTTGAGAATAAACAAGAACTTGTCTCCTCATCTTGTTTGGATCTTTTAATCAACATTGACCTAATAAAGAAGTATAATGTTTCAGATGCATGGAGACCTGTCCAGTATGTCCAACCAAAAGAAACCAATGTACATTTGCTAAATGTGTGATGAGGATGTGGACTAAGGAACCAAGTGTTGTGTGGTAAGAGTAATGATACAATACCAGTATGATTGACAACTGCCATGATCACCTAACAATCAGAGACAAGGTGGGGCCTTAATTACAATGTCCCACCTCCTTAGATGCCAATCATAATGACCAAATTACTAATCATCCTCAGTCTTACATAATTAAACAGACCCTTCATTATACATCTCAATACACAAATACTTGACCTCATTATTGAATACACAAATGTATATATATAGAAATGATAGATTGCCTATTACTTTTAATCTACACTACATAAAGTGATTCCATAATTTATCATGTTTATGTCTGAAAGGTAAATGATTAAGGATAAACAAGATTTTTTTTTATATCTCAGAGTTTATATGTCCCTCTGAAGCACCTCTGTATTCAATCTACTGTGGATTCATTATTATTCGTTGGATACTAATTTTCGTGGATTTCGTGGATACAGCTGAACCACGAATTCAAATATTCAACGAATTACAAATTTTCTATAAGTTTGTATGCAGATATTGACAAAGCCACGAAATCAAATATCCACGAAATGCCAGTTTTCCTCAATCCACGAAAATTGGTACCCACGAAAATGAATGAATCCAGAGAAGATATTAAAAAGGTATTCAAGTAATGTCTATATTTTGACTTAGTAAATCTGTGCAATCCTCATCTGTAATTAATCAATAATTTAGGTTACACTTATCAGTGACTGGCTTGAAACAGTTAGTAAAATTTCAAAACTCTTAACCTGTCAGTGAGCAATCCGATATTTTTTATGTTATTCCCCATCAAATATAATTAATTTAACAATATAATTTAGTCATTTGAATACAGGAAGTGTATTTTTGCAATTAAGAATGATTCCCCATTTCAATAAATTTATAAGTTTTTTTAATTTGTTTACGATGAAAAAGTACATTTTCAATGCCCTTTTCTGGAAAATATTAAATTATAAATTGAATTAAAATACACTCTAAAGCTTTTAATCTTCAGTGTCATATAATCCAGATAATAGTTATCAAAATCAATAAGCAGTTCTTAGAAGAGAAAAATAGTATACCTATGTTTTAACTTACAAAATGCAGCCAAATCAATCTTTTCAGATTATTTTTTGGAGACAATATATACCTTAGTTTCGAGTCTATATGTTGGTGTCATGTCCTACAAGGATAACTGATGAACTTTATTAAACTAAAAGAATCTTTATTTGTTAATTTCTTCTGTTTCTAAAGATAAAACATAAAAAGTGAAACATGTAACAGGCAAAATTATTGGGTTAAGATATGAAATTGCAATTTAAACGAAATTGTTGTGCAAATTACGTGGCCTGCTATCGTTGATTCACATTTAGCTCATTTAATCTATTGAAGATGTGCTTATCCTTCTAAAGGCCTGCAGTTAATGCAATTGTCAGCAATAGTGTTATATTAATGTTCTTCCTTGTCCACACCATACCTAGATATGATTTTAAATTATTCAAACTATTCTTCCAAACTTTCCATGAGTGATTTCCATCACTTTGATTTAACAACTTTTAAATAAGCTTACTATTTATCACATATATCTTACAATTCTAATGCAATTCATGGACAAGCAATTTAGTGTAGAATGGTCACAATATATTTTGATTGGTCCTTCGTTACAGTTACATGCTTTGCTTTTGAGTGAAGGAGAGTTCATTCAGCAGTTTGGGTGAAGTAAAGTATACGAGCAGTTTGAGTGAAGTGCAGTTTACCCGCAGTTTAAGCGATGTGAAGTTTACCAGCAGTTTTAGTGAAGCATGTTTACCAGCTGTTTGAGTGAGTGAAGTGGGGTTTTACCAGCAGTTGAGTCAGTGGATAAGTGTTTACCATTAGAGTCTCAAGTTACCAGTAGTTGGGATGGGGTTCATGTTCTAGTATTTTTAACTTTTTAAAACTAGAAACTCGAGTTAAAAGTACATTTTCCAAGTGGAGTTTGGAGAGGGGACAAATACACTACTAATTGTCGTATTAGTTAATAATGATGCTACCTCGAGGTGTGCTGTCCTGTAAAGGGTCCAAAATAACAAACAATGGGTCATATCATATCATGTATTTTTTAAATTACAAAATACTTATTTCATTTACTTTAATATTAGATGTTAGTCAATTAAATCAAAATTAATCATGTTATAATTTTATTTACCTATTTTTTATTTTTATTTTGTATTATGTTTAAAAAATCATAATGTAATTATTCTGCTCATTTTGGGCGCCGTGTTTTTGTTTGTTTGTTCGTATTCGTTTGACTAAAACAACGTTTAATAGTGGTTCGATTTACGTAAACCATAGATGTATAAACCCATAGATGAAGCTCAACACTGACTTCAAAGGTTCTATGTGCGTTGTAATGGCTTTCACACTTATCTGATAATGACATGAACCAGTTGGTCATTGAGATGCCGATTGACAATCTAGACAATAGAAAACTGACAATCAAAAGCTACTTAGCAGTTGAACATGCTAAAAATCAGAAAGAAATAAAATCAAAATATATATTTTAGAATGACTTGGTTATGAAAAAATAATGTTCTTGTAGGTAAAACAATATTACAAATTATTCTCGAAAAGAAATTAATAAATGCATGCGGATATCTTTTTTTAAGCCAGAACTAATGTTTTCATCATATTTACACATTTACATTTTTAGATTTTATATCATTTATCACAATTTAACTTTATTTAAACAATGTGTGTTAACTATTATAAACAAGTCTATTGAAAATATAATTAATAGAAAACATGGAAAAAGTTGAATATATGCTCCATAATATTTATTTACCAAGCTTTACATGAAATGTTTTGGTAGTATACTAAAACTCTTTACTTAAACTAATTTTATAAACATCATGAATGAAATCATTATAATTTAGCCAAAGATGTATACATCTATGATTTTAATAGTAACTAACTTATTCGTAAAAATATAAAAATGATTTAAAAAGACAATTTATCTTCTAAAAATGTAGAAAAACTGATGAAATAAAGAAAAGATATGTACTTTCTTATTAATTTTTTCCCAAATTCGACGCAGTTCGACAACTTAATGGAGCATATCAAGGAGAAGGTGTATTTTAGAAGTTCAACAACCTGCTATTCCCATTTTCAGGAACTCACAGGAACATAGTTTTTATAAAATATAAAGATACAAGCCTTAAAAAAAAACATTTTTTAATTTAGTTCAATATTTCCCTTGTAAAATGCGCAATTTCTGACCGATTTCATCCATTTTTTCACCATTTTATTTGTCTGTCCAGTGCGCTAAAACAGACATACTCTCACAACAGAAGGGACATAACTCGAGAAGATAATTAAGAAAATCTATTCTGCTGTATTGGTCAATACAGATCAACAGATAAGAGATGTAGCTAGATTTACTTGATTGAGGACAACACACATGAAACATCAAAGACAGTCAATTTGGTCATGGTTCTTTTTATCTTACAATAGAGAACAGTAGGGAACTTTGGACGAGCTTTATCTATGGGTTTATACATCTATGCGTAAACCTATACATACATTTCACGTTATCTACATATAAATACATATAAATACATATACACATGTACACGTAACCAGGTGAACCATTCGTTCATAGGAAATATGATTCATGAGAAGAATTATTTAAAGTCAGAATAAAGGAAATCTACACTTGAGATAATTTTGATTTTGATGGATTTGACAAATTTTCCAGACAAACGTAAGTTCAACATTTATATTCCAAATCTAGTACTAGTGTTGTAAATTATTTATTTGAATTTATAGGTATCAAAGATTAATTGTAACAACATGTAACAACACAATTTATATAAAAGTGATCAAACAGTAGACAGTCTTGTTCTATATTTGCATCCCATTTAGATTTTACAGAACGATGTCATTTTATTAAATTTGCACTTTCAAGATAATTAATGAAGCATTGCTTTTTATCCACGGTCAAAGTCGGGTACAAAACCTAGTTTCCTACACCCCAGTATTAGTACAATAACAAATGAGTAAAAATAAAACCAACACTACTATTCTTGGGAATTCTGGATTTCAGGCCGTGACAAAAAATAATATCAGTCGTTATGACTCCACTGAAACCGTACGTTACTCAGACCCAAGTCTCGAAAATGTCCCTTTGGTATATTTCGCCTCTCTTTTATATACCAAAAGTCAGCACTTAGTTCACCAAGATAATTATATTTTGTTTTGCTATCCTGCTATACACCTATGTTCTAGTGATACCAACAATAGTGAAAAAAAATTGTTCAGAGGCATCAACGGATGCAAATTTAAAATTAGGCACTCATAAAAGGTTATTACTGTACGTCTCCGGGCAGACAATGAACGCAAAGAGATGAGAACAGCTTATGTGAGCCAAAATTTGTTCCTGTGAAAAAAGTTCCAGTGGAACTTATATCACAGGAAATATGTTCTGGGAGAATTTTTTTCACAGGTAATTTCTATATAATTTGTTCCATCTCTTTAAAATAAGTTTCACACTTTACCTGGTGAAATAAGTACCGGGTTGGTGAAATTTGTTCCTTACCTAGTGAAATAAGTTCCGGGTTTAAGAGATTTGTTCCTTACCTGGTGAAATAAGTTCTGAGTTTGTGAGATTTGTTCCTCACCTGGTGAAATAAGTTCCTTGTCTGTGAAATATGTTCCACTTGTTAAACAAGTTATCTTATATACTGAGCATTTGTCATCAGTGAGTTTAAAGTTATCATTCAAGTGCATTATAAAAATAAGTATTATATTAATAATATAATAGATAAAAAGTGTAAATCATCCAGTTTGGATCCTATGGAGTATAGCATATGTTTAATTATATACTCTGTAAAAAATATCTAATTGACACTTTTGAACCAGAAAAGATTAGAATAAGAAAAATCATTCAGAAAAAAAGTATAGTTTAAGAGGAACATATGTACTAATTTGAAGAGGACAAAGTGACTTGATCATTTATAAATATCAAAAGACATGTAGAAAAAAAGACACACTCTTTTGAAACTGTGCCATGTCCTAAGTACATGTATGACTAGAACACGAGGCCATATGACAGTTAACAGGAACCAAGGAGGAATACCGCATAAAACATAAATACAAATTATGATACATTACCATCGCTTTTATTTCTTATCTTCATCCTATAGTTACAGTCATGCCTTCAATTGCAAATGTATCCCATGCAAGTACACATACAGCATTTAGCTTGCATGATAATTTAAGTGTAACAAGAAAATGTTTCGGTGTGCAATAATGATTGAGCGGAACTTATTCATTAGTTTCTATGAAATATTTACATGTTCGTTTAAAACTAATGTCACAGGAACTTATTTAAAACTTTTTAATATTAATTGAAACAAAATTCATGGAGCTATGATTTTTGTTCTGGAACTTATTTCACATTTAGCCAAAAAATTAGTTCCGGAACAAATTTTACAGTGCTGGAACATATTTTCTGTGATATAAATTCCGATGGAACATATTTCCTATGAAATTTGTCCGGCAGAACAAATGTCATGCCGGAACAAATTTTTTGTTACACTTACACTCATTTTATTGTTTTCATTTACAGAAAAATTTAAAACAAATGGAGAAAGAACGAGAGAATTTCTATCGAATCATTTCCCTAGTTCTGAGCCTGGGCACAAAAGCTAAAAGGGAACTCCTGAAACATTATTTGTCAACAGAGAATATAACACTTCAATATCTACTTAGTATTTATCAACATGATTTGTATCATCTTTACTACAACACTGTAAAATGTTGCAAATGTACAACAACAAACTACAAGCTGTCAAGAAAAAGGGTTTTAAATTTAATTCAGTTGGAAATATTGTTCGACAGAAAACCATCAAAACCTCTTGGTGCTTCAACATGGCAATGTAATGCATCTGAATTTTGCTGCTGCCAACTGTCATCAAAACCGTCTTTAACAGTTGACCATTTAGACTTCACCCTTGCGAGGTGTTTATTAGTTAATTGTTGTGAAAAACTTTTCACTGATAGCTTACTGGTTGGTGAGACGACAGAATCTTTCCTAAACAAGCATCAGCACGACCTGTACCATCTATGGCAACCACAAACTACTTGTTGTTTGTGTCCAAAAGGCTGCCAACCAAACAATAAAAATCGGATCATAACGGACAAACAGTGGACAAATATTTATAATGTCACAAATCTAAAAACCACATGTCCCTCCTGTGGTAGTCTCGGGGATGCGTGCAATGCAAGGGCTATATCAGGAATATCATTGAATAATATACAAGATAAAAAGTTCATTAGAATCATGTTGATGAATCTGTGTTTCTTAAGGAAAAAAGTAGACGAACTTACTGACATTAGAAACATGGTGTATGGACATGCTCTGGAAGTGTCGATTTCAGACCAAGAATACGAAGCAAAATGGCAGCAAGCGGAAGCTTGTATTTTAACACTTAGCAGAGAATGTTCCAGAGAAACTGAATGCGAATTTCTTATGAAAATTGACTTCATCAAAACAGGAGCTCTAGAGGAAAGTCTATACCAGCAATACCATACCAGCATATTGAAAGAAATAAGAGATAACACTGATATCAAACAAGTAAGTGTTATGTATACATTTCAATTGAACGTTCAGCTTGTGAGATGAAGACAGCAGTGAAAATACGTTTTGATAATTGTTCAAGAATGCAAGTAGTTTTTTGTTTGTTAAATGAGTTGACTTTTCAGCGAGTTGTTAGACATTTACATTCAGTGTATATAGTTGAAAAAAACTAGCATAATTATTTCAGAAGTCCACAATATATGAGGCGCAATTTAGTCAAAGTTGTTATACTTAAGGAGGTCCTGGACAACTAATCGGTCATTATTGCTTTATGTCAGAAAAATTGTGAATATGTATGGAGCTCCATAATTCCATATTTCAGGACCTCCACAATGCGTGTTCAGGATATCCTCAAATATTTATGAAGGTCAACAATTATTTCAGGACATCCGCAATTCGATCTAAGAAAATCCTAAAATATAAAGAAATATTCGGCGGAATCTGCCAGCTACTAATTTATGAATTTTATAGAATTCAATTATGGATCGAGGTCCTAAAATATTTTATGGATATTTTGAAATGGAATTATGATTAATTATGTAGGTCCTAAATGTTTTCATGAGGTTCATAATTAATTATGGATATCCTGATATAGATCCTTAAATAATTCAGGAGAGCCGTAAATATTTATGGATATCCGGAAATCTAATTATGGATCTCCTTATATACAATTGTTTGGACTAACTGCGTGCCTCAGAACACTTCACTCGAAAGCATTCGTCATTGAGGATTCAGACCACTTATGGACCCTTCTTCTTTTTCGATCTGCAACCTATTTCTTATGTTATAACGTGATAGACATAAATGAAGTTAAAAAAAACTGTTACAAATAATTGTATTTTCTTTTATAATGTCAACTTTCTGAATTTTACACACTATTTTCTAGGATATTTTACAACACTTAGAACATACATCCGACCAAATGGTGTCAAATCAAACTTCTATAGACAGAACACTTGACGCTTTGAATGAAAAGATTGACCGAGTGTTAAATACCTCACAAAAACTTCCAGTTCAAACATCATCTCAAAGTATTCGTAAGTTTATATGCTTAATATTTTGACAAGTTGCAGCAAGACTTTTATAAGCTGGGACTATCAAATCTTTATCTATTAGTCCAATGTATAATAAGGTCTCATCTCTTCGTTATTGTTATAGTAAATCGCAGTCTAATAACATAATTAAGGTAGATAGCTGGATATGATACAGATTGATGCTTCCTAAATATTACCATACTAAAGTTGATGTGGTATGAGTGCCAGCCAATGAGACAACTCTCCATCATTATTACCATATATGTGGCTTTCAAGTTTTTAACCACAAATATTGTGATTTGAGTCATTCATAAAAATATTTCATTTCGATTTGACCACCACCAAAGACAATCCATTTCGTGCTAATTGGGATATGTTGTGGGTGCAGTTATGCCACACATATTTCCATTGAACCTAGGAAACACATAAGTGGCAAAGTTCCAGTGCAAAAAAAAAAAACTCTGAAACTATATTGCTAACCTGAAAAATACACAAAAGAAATCAGAACACTGGAGGCAATAATTAATTCCAATGAATGGATTTTCTAATTTCTCCAAAACTACAAGTCTAAATCTATTCAACATGATGATGATTAGGAGACGTCTACAGAGACAAATAATTTGATTGGATTGTAAGACTGATGATCACACATGATCATAAACTAGGTTTCCACTTAGCACTATAAAATATCTTAGAAACTTCATCTGGCAAATGAAACTGGACTTTCCAGCGATAATGTTATTAATGATGGTCCTTTCATGAAAATTCATCGTATACTCCGATCATCTGAAAAACATTACACTCCAGCATAACCATATGTAATGCTTACTTCATATACATATGCAAGGACCAACAATTATATAATAATCTTGAGATTTAATAGGGGTGGAAAGTGGTAATTTCCGACATAGGAATAGATCCAAGTATATATACAATACAAGTTTTGTAGTGCCTTTGGTTGGCTCAAATTGGTACTTAAACAAAGGACAATTTTGTTGCGTCTTTTTTAGATGGTAAACAATGTAGGAACAAAATGCTTTTGGTGCGGTTTTAGTTAATGTTTTTTTTTATTATTATTATTCAAAAAGAATGCAAGCTTGATAGTATTGAAGTGATTCATATTGATACATGCTTGGTAACACAAAAAAAAAATATTCCAAAATCAAAAGGATATTGTATCTGCCGTATCGTGAGTTTTTTTTTGTTTGTTTGTTTGTTTGTTTTTCTTTTGAGCATGATGTATTTTTTTATATAAGCCCTTGGTATCCTTCTCTCTTTGTTTGAACAAATGCGAGCACAAACAACTACAAAATTACTCTTGTCTCAATCTACAATCGTAGCTTTTTTCACCAGAGAAAATATGTTTTCTTTGACATTACTAATCTAAAATCAAAAATATTACTTATAGGTTTCGGTCCTCCCTGGATATCTGGATAGAATTTTAGTCTTTAAAGGTCATTATGATCGTTACAACATTTGTAAAGTCCGAACCTAAAAACGTTAAAGTTTGTTAAAGAGTTTTAGTTAATGTTTAGATACTCTGTTGCAAATTCAGTACGATTTAGTAGCTTTTCAGACAATTCAGTATGCTGTTGTTCTGTACAGGTAAATAACAACTGAAAAATCTTAACATGATACTGAACCGATCTTTATTGACAGCAAGCGAATTGTATGAACAGAACTGAATTTACTGCAATGGATAAGTCTGAAAATTGACTGAACATGACTTGATAATTTATTGTTCAGTCGTTTAAAAGCTGTTCAGATCAAATGACTGCTTCAGTTCAGAATTGGTTTACTAGTGTAATATATCACAAAAATATTATAATTTCATGATTTCAGAAACAGAACCACAGGATGCAAAAGAAACTGATGATGATTTCATGACAAAATTCAACCACAAAATTACTGAAAAAGAAAAAGACATCATAACCCTAAATAAGAAAATCAGTGATGCAGAAACGTACAAAAGAGTCCATGTTGAGAAAACTTCACAAATAAAACAAGCAATAAATGAAAGATCAAGACTTTTACAGGAAGCCATTGTTTTAAAAGAGAAAGAGCTTATTAAAGAAGTAGAAACAAACAAATTTGATGCTGTTCAGAAACTGGATGAGTTCATAAAGAAATCAGTTGAAATGGGACAAAAGCATGAGAAAAAGATTAGTAATTATAAAAAGATACTGGAAAATATAAAAGAAGACAAGGAAATGGCTATGCAGTTTGTTCAAGACTCAGAACCCATATTAGATTCTATGTCTCTCAGTGTGAAGCTGGATTTTCCCTGTCCTTTAACTTTTGAATACAAATCATCCGCTGATGTCCGAACATTGTTTGGAGAGCTGAGAGAAGACAACAGGATCGGACCAGATGGGAAAGAAAAGTCAAAGTACTGTGATTCTCTAGACATTATAAACAAATTCAAAGTTGAAACTGGCGATTCATCAGTCTATACTATAAATGTTAGACCAGATGGAAAAACATGGGTTTCCACAATGAATAAAAACCTTTGCCTTGTGAATAGGTTAGGGAAGATCTTAGCAAAAGAAAAACTTGATTTCCTTATTTTCTTTTCTACCTGTGATAAAGATGGGAATTTATATTGTTCAAGTCGGGACAGAAGTATCAACGTGGTGCATCTTGATACAGCAGACTCCAAAAATTACACTATATGTGAATTTGAAAACATGTACCCTTATCTTACCAGAGGAATTGGTACAAATAAAGAAAATCACCTATTGGTTTTGTTATGGAAGAATGATAAAAGTAAAATTGCTATCTTCTCAGAACAGAAAATGCTTATAAAGGAAATCCAGTTAGATATTGATAAAACACCTATTTTCAATGACACTCATTATATAACTCAAAATAATGATGGTGACATATACCTCTCAGGTAATTCACATCTATTTTGTTTTAAAACACAAGATATGAGTTACCAATGCCTTCAACCATCTGATGAAACATGGGAAGGAAAAAGCCTAACTATAGATCCTTTTAATAATCTTATTAGTACTGAATGTCCAAAATGTTTGAGACCCCTTAGCATCCATGTGACCAACCCAATGGGTGAAATAATTAAAACTTTTACCATACAGGGACCAGGTATGTATGGTATGAATGGATTAACCGTGGATTATAATGAAGCAGAACCAGTTCTATGGATGTCTACAACAACAGGTCATGTCATCATTGCAAGATTTGTAAACCATGACAAAAATACAATGTAAAATACATGTACAAACAGTAATCAATTTCTCCAATACTGCTTGCGGAAATAAAATCCTTCATCGTCACATTCAATCTTGTCTGTCATTTCGCCTCAATACTGTAAACCGGAAGTTTTCATGCCATCTTTATTTCACGATTTGCCAATAGAATCTTAATTCGCCGTTCTGAATTTGCTATTGATGGGGGGTCCTTTACAAATTTTTATTAATGACTTTGAAACGCTATGGTGATGCATGTATCGTAAATCAAGTGTTGAAAATTGATATAACATTTTTGTCTTTTGATCATAATAACCTATGTAGCAGATTCAATGGGGTAATCATTTGAAAAAATGTGTTCATTTACCTTATTGACACTAGTGTTGTTTATATAACAATATCAATAAGTTCTGCTTGCTCAAGATGACTTTGATTTTTGACTTGTCATGAGATAAAAGTTTTGATTTCTGATACTGCCCTTCACTTGAAAATAAAGTCTGTAAAATTGTTTCTCTATAAACTGTACCTGTTCATAAACCTATTGGTATAGGTTCTTGTATGGTCCTTGTCCTTTGAATTGAGTTTCCTTGAAATTTTCTTTTCGTGTTTCAACTCTTACCTCGAAAATAGCGAAATAAATTTCCCTGTTTACAGTATGCATGTTCAGTGTATTTGATTACTATTAATAAACACATGATCTCCTTTTCTCTCACTGAAAAGTGGAAATTGTGGTAAGCTAGTTATATAATTGCTTTTAGTTTAATGTTACCATGGTAATTGCATAAATCAGGCTGTTGGTTTTCTGTTTTGAAATGATTCATATTTTGTTGTCTCAGGCCATTCTATAGTTTTTTATGGTATCTGTTTTGCTCATTATTGACCCTATGTCCAATGTTCTCGTCATTTGGTCTTTGGTGGATAGTTGTCTCATAAGCAATGATAACACATCTTATTTTTATATTAACCACTGCTACACTTCAGGTTGAAACATAAAAGAAAGTAAACCATAACTGTTTAATTTTAATTCAGGATAAAACTAATTTGCACAAGTTCATAGATTTTGCATGATTGTAAAACACATCCTTATTTTCAAAACAATACACACAAGCAAAAACTGATCTGTCAAGCATTCACAAAAATTACATAATATTGCAACACATAATTACTAAGTAAAAATAGGATATTAACATACAGTTATGTTTGCTTTAATATATGTAAGTATTAACTACCATTGTACCACCAGTAAAGATATTCTTTTTTCTAATGTCAAGTATACAAATATTAGAATTAAAATCCCTTGAAAATAAAGTCATACTACAATAAAATACAGATCATTTCTTGGAAAAAAACATTGTATCATACCACTGACTTTATACAAAATATAAACTGTTCTTTGAACATAGGAAGGAAAAATATCTGGCCTTTATTTGGTTTGGAAAATCCAAGACATCCTGAAGTAGATGTATATAGTTTGGCATCCTTCAATACTATATATACCTCAGTTTTCTTAAGCAAATGAGAAAAGTAATACGAAGCATATCCCTTTATATAACTATTCGTTTTCTTGTAAATACAAGGATGCATTACTTTATAGTTATTTATAAAATGTAGTAACTGCTATCGTGATGTTTCAGGGATGACACTAGGTAGTTAGTCATATGTAGCATTATGTATCAAGAATTCGTATTACTCACCTAAATGAGTCATAGAGTTTACTAATCAATGTCATCTGGGATCAACGAAATGTTAAAAATTATGACCCCAATAACAGAGGGACTTGTCAGATTTTAAATATGGGCTTCTGGACTCACCAAATGAAAACCTTACAATTAGAAGTATCCCCCATTGACCTGTATTATATTATAAATTTATACAAATGTTACAAATTGATGAGTTCCAAACACAGTTATAGTGAAAAACTGTTGCATCTAAAGACCCATTTTGAAATTTCAATTCAATTCAATATACCCAGGGATACCATTACAATTTTCCATATGATTTGAAATTTTGACATGTTGATTTAAAATGAAAAACAAGTAAAAATAGATAACACAAAAATTTTCTCCTGGTATTGACATTTTGAATATAAGCAATAAGATGAAGTTATAATCAGAAAATTAAGTCAAAACTTGTCTGTAATCATGAACAAAAAGTGATGGAATATGCATATCACAGTGTAAGTAACCCAATATTCATCCTGATGGAAGCCCAAAAATGGGGGACAATTTCTGAAAAGGGATATCAAATAAAATGCACAAATTCTAAAATCCAATTTATGCTATCTGTCCCGAAAAAGCATTATGTTTCCTTGAAAAATATTTTCTAACTATTTAGTTGCATACGTTTTAAACATTTGTCAATTACCATCTTAAATACAAGTGACTTGTTATTTCTGCAAAATATAAAAATTAAGAGGTGTCCATAAGGTTTTGGTTTAATGAAGGAATAAATAAGATTTATTGAATGTTTCTTCTTCTCATATAAGAAATTTCTGGCATATACTCCATTCAAATATAAAACATTTCTGGAATGTTTTTCCTTCAATATAAGACATTATTAAATGTTCTTATGAAATATATGACAGTTATGTAATGTTCTGCATTGTATATAATATATATCTGCAATGTTTTTCATTGTATAAAATATATATCTGGAATGTTCTTCATTAAATATAAGCAATTTTTGGAATGTTCTTCATTTAATATAAGACATTTATGGAATATAAATTCATTCCTTGGACGGACCTAATTGTAAATAGCACTTTCACACAGTAGGACGGACACAATATAATAAATATATGATTTTTTTGTACAAACATTTTTTGTAAAAATCTGTTTAATATATATTATATTAAAAAATAAATCTGATGAAAAAGAAAACAGCTCACAACAAAAACAAATTTTATTCAAAACACCAATTTCGACTTGCCCTTTACTTCAACTACCTCATCTTTGCACTGGTCAACCTAATGACTTTACAAAAAAAAGTCACTTTATGCATGGAATGTAATATGTTTTCTTTTCCGATGCTAAAAAATCAAGAGTGGAAAGTTTTATTTTCATCAATAGTAGAATAACTCGAAATTGGTGTATGAATATAGTAGAACTTAATAAATAGACATCAACAAGCCTTTACCATGTTAGCTTAAGACTACAATATAACAATGTGACTCAGAGTAATGTATGTTAATTTACAGGTTGTTTTAGATAAAAGGTAAACACTGGAATAGCTTCTGTGAAAAAAATGAAAGGGTTTTTGTGTAACTGATGAATGCTTAAATTTGTATAATTTGTAATGTGATAGCCCCAAAAGTTGTACAACCCAAACGTTACCAGCCATACCAGCTGCTACATTTGTTTTAAACTATGTTACACATTTTTTGTTTTACTATTTTGCTTGCAAATCTTACCATCAAAATGACAACTGTAATTAACTTCCATTTGAAAAAAAAGCCAATGTTTTGGTATACAATGGTATAGAGAACTTGTTTCCAATTTATGTATTTCAAATGGGGCTGTTCCATTTAAATATATATGGTACCCAGGGAAGGCACTTTTGAAATGGCTTACCTCTTATAGAGGCAAATTTAGAATTTCATTTACATTTCAATGTACTTGACAAACCACCTGGAGTTGAGATTTCAAAGTGCCTTCCCTGGGTCCCATATCAGTTTTTATGGAACAGCCCTGTATATTTATAGTAATATTATATAAACATTGGTTAACAGTTTCAATAAAACATAAATGTGATATTCATAAATGCAAACCATTCTTATATTTCTATCCATGTGAATATTTTCCTTCACCATTTTATCATTTTAAGAAAATATAATTTATTACTAAATTGATTAAATCATTACAGCTGTGTCAATTTGACATAAAATAATTTATAAAGTTTCCCTCTAGAATTAAAATATCACTCCTTCTTAGAGGTAAAGTCATCCATTTTTTTGAGTTCACAAGAAATCATCCCACTGTTTTATATATACCGTAGAAAGGCTTGTATAGTCCACGGTTTTATTCTCCAAAATTGGACCTTCCAGACGGGGTGCGGACTATAGAGTACAATAAGCAAGAAATAAGAGAAAAATTTCAATTTCGCGGTCGAGGTGGTTTGTTTACGTTCCGCCATCTTTGTTATTTCTATTGTAGAGGGCGCTCTTATCATTTTTCAAACTAATAATTTTAACTCATCCATATTAATAAGTTATTTCTATTCAATATCAAATTAATACTGATAAATATAAAAACTAAACCTTTCATTACAAATTTCTCGTTTCTTTTCAATGCATTGGTTGAAATAAACTTGTATCTGCTCGATTGAAACGATACAAACATAGTGAAAAAGACAACCGTAAACCAGCTTAGAATTTGTAAACTACAAAACGAAATCGGTTATTGTTCGTTCCGTTTTGGTGTTTCATACTGACTAATATGGTTTGTATTAGCTTAAGACCCTTCAAACATTAATGTGATAGATATATTAAAGACTGTTTTACAAAAGGATGGAACTGTTTTGCTTTCAAAGTCGTATTATAGTGATATCTGTTATGTACGGATTTCGACTCTCACCGGTTAATTTCTTCTTTTACACGTGCTTTTTAAACTTCCTGTTTAAACATACACAAGTTTCTAAATTGTTTTTTAAGTGAATTAAACTTATTTTAACAATCATGAAGCGTTCTAGAATCATTAACAAGCAGTTTCAGCTTCTGTTTGATGATGGAAAACAGGTTTTTCCAAGAAAATACCGCAAACGACCGCTCAGGATTTGAAATTACCGGAGTTTCATTAGACCTTTTCTAACAGTTACAAAAAGTTTTTTTTCCTAAAATTTCGTGGGGAGAAGGGGGTGCGGACTATGTACCACTGCGAACTATACAAGCCTTTCTACGGTATGTTATAAATGTCCTGACTAGGAAAAAAACCCTGAAATTGCTTTTGCCTATATAATTTTGTAACACCACTTATGATTCAGAAGAATTGCTTCATTTTGACTATGGGACACTTATTTTTTTTTAATTCTAATGAAAACAGATTTGTATGATCTGTGCAATAGACAGTTATTTGTGTTCACTAAATCTTATTCTTTACCCAAACTGGATAGATCACATCAGAATAATGATCTGTATACATGTATGTTTATGTTAAAAAAAAAATACTTTGCCCATAATACTAAAATATCTGAAAGATGTACAAATATATGTTCAAGAAACTGCATTTATATTTGTGTAAAAAACACCTGCTGCATAATCAAATAAAACATACTTTTTTAATAAAAATACAAGATTTTTTACTATTAATTTTGTTGCTATGCAACCAGTACATTACGCTTCCAGGATTTTCTTTGCTTCCAACATACTCCTTCTAAAGGTATGAACACAATCCGATATTAATTCTTTATGAAATCAGCCAACATCATCTCCATATCCGACATGTATTATCTTTGCTACCTGAATAAGGAAAGGAATAAAGTAGTCAGTGACTTGAACTTTGACCTTTTGTAAACTTGTTGACCTTTGCTAGCTCCATATTCTAACGGTGTTATCTTTACTACCTATTTCATTGGAGAAAAAGGAAATTAAATTTTCTTAAGTGTAAAATGTGACATTACACCAAGCTGTGCAAATTGGTTTCAATCAATTCAAATTGTGCAGGATTCAAACATGTGACACAAATTTTCAAACATACACTTTATTCATAAATATTTTCCACAAAGTTAACATTGTGAACATATATTTTTCAATGATTATGTTTAAATCATCTCACCATAGATCCTTCATTTTTAGAGTCAAGTATAAAGGCAATCTCCTGAATCTAATCAAATGTTCTTTGTTACTAAAGCATGTCCACTAAAAGTAACATCATTTGTTTATTTTTAAGATCAACTTGAACATATAAAGCATTTTTTTAATTTTCAACTAACTGCATTTCTGGAAATATAACAGTTCATAATTCATAAATTATCCTGTTCTAAAATTAAAAATTTTATAAGAACCCCAATTAATTGACAAATTTGTACCTCTGGCCTTCTTAAGGAACAATTTCTACCATATTTAGAAAATGCAAATCTATTAGCAAAAGAGCTAATAAACCTGAAAAATGGTCTATGTAGTTGTAAAACAGATTTTTAAATATATACTGCAAAATTATGCATATTTTCATTCAATTTTTCACATTTTGCAAGAATCAAACTTTAAACTAACAAGAGGCTGTCAGAGTGACAGCAAACCGGATTTTCCTGCAGTGGTCAAACGTGAACAGTTGATCAAGTATGGACACAACATTTAAGCTTAAAACAGCTCTAAACTTGGATTGTGATTGAATATTTGATACAGCATAGGTTTGTGACAGAAAATAAATGTGGTCAAAGAACTGAAAAATTTGAAATTGGACATTTACCTATTATGGTCCAATATCCAAAATCTAAGTACATTATTAGAATCAGCTTATCAAAGAACCCCAAATGAAATACTTATTAATTAAAACAATTTCTAATCAAAGGGAAAAAACTCAAACTTGTTTCCATGAACCAGTAATGCAAATCTAAAATTAGATATGATTTCACCACTAAATAAAATGTTCCGATGGGCGCAGCTGGATACGACCGCAGAGGTCGAACCCTGAACAGTTGGGGCAGGTATGGACACAACATTCAAGCTTGATACAGCACTGAATTTGGATTGTGATTAAATATTTGACACAGCATAGGTTTCTGACACAGATGAATGTGGTCTAAGAACTTAAAAATTTTAATTTACCTATTCAAACCATATCATTATTATTTGCTTTTATATATAAATCAGAAATAACCAATTTAAAACGGAAAATTTTAAAGAAAAAAAAAGGAAAAAAAGATCCCTCCCCCAAATATTTTGAACCCCCTTATGATTCATCACCTCCAATCTCAATCCCAGCCTTCCCTTTGTGGTATGGTACCTTGCAGTACAATTTCAGAGAGATCCATACACTTGAACACAAGTTATTGTCTGTCAACTAGAAAAATGCTTATTTTTGGCCCCTTTTTGGCCCCTTATTCCTAAACGTTTTGGGCAATTACCCCCAAACTCAATTCCAGCTTTCCCTTTGTGATATGGAACCTTGTAGTACAATTTCAGAAAGATCCATACACTAACACACAAGTTATTGTCATGAAACTAGAAAAATGCTTGTTTTTTGCCCCTTTTTTGGCCCCTAATTCCTAAAATTTTGAGGCAATTACCCCCAAAATCAATCCCAGCATTCCCTTTGTGATATGGAACCTTGTGGTACAATGTCAGAGAGATCCATACACTAACACACAAGTTATGTCTGGAAGTTACAATAAAATGCTCCGCAGGGCGCAGCTGGATACGACCGCAGAGGTCGAACCCTGAACAGTTGGGGCAAGTATGGACACAACATTCAAGCTTGATACAGCTCTGAATTTGGATTGTGATTAAATATTTGACACAGCATAGGTTTCTGACACAGAATGAATGTGGTCTAAGAACTTAAAAAAATTTTAAATTGGACATTCACCTGTTATGGTCCAATATCCAAAATCTAAATACATGGTTAGATTCAGCATCTCAAAGAACCCCAAGAATTCAATTTTTGATGAAATCAAACAAAGTTTAATTTTGGACCCTTTTGATCTCAATGTGGACAAAGTTGATAACGGGGCCCAAAAATCAAAAATCTAAATACATGGTTAGATTCAGCATATCAAAGAACCCCATATATTCAATTTTTGTTGAAATCAAACAAAGTTTAATTTTGGACCCCGATTTGGACCAACTTGAAAACTGGGCTCATAATCAAAAATCTAAATACATGTTTAGATTCAGCATATCAAAGAACCCTAAAAATCCAATTTTTGTTAAAATCAAACTAAGTTTTATTTTGGACCCTTTGGGCCTTTATGTAGACTTATTTGAAAACGCAACCAAAAATTAAAAATCTAAATACACGGTTAGATTCGGCATATCAAAGAACCCCAATAATTCAATTTTTGATGACATCAAACAAAGTTAAATTTTGGACCCTTTGGACCTCAATGTGGACCAATTTAAAAACAGGGCCCAAAATCCAATAAACTGCTTCGCTGAGCGCAGCTAGATATGCCCGCAGAGGTCCAACCCTGAACAGTTGGGGCAAAAATGGACACAATATTCAAGCTTGATTCAGGTCTGAATTTGGATTGTAATTAAATATTTGACATATTATAGGTTTCTGAATAAATGTAGTCAAAGAACTTGAAATTGGTTATATGAATTGAATTTATATTCAATTAAAGATTTCTTGCTGTTGTGCAATACTTAGTATATCTGTTTTCAGACTATAAACAAATAAAGTTCAATTTATTCTCAATGTCATATTAGAAATTTATGAAAATAAAAAGGGAGCTTACATCAATAGATATAAACAATTCACCAAACTTTCATGAGAATTGGTGACAGCAAATTTGAGTTATTGTCCAAAAACTGGAAAATCACCCCTTTTTTTAATGAATAAAACCTCATAACTCAGAAATGTAAAATGTAAAATTTATAAAATTCTAAAGGGAGCTTACATCAATACATACAAACAATTCACCAAATTTTCATAAGAATTGCTGAAAGCATTTTTGAGTTTTTGTCCAAAAAATTGGAAAATCCCCCCCTTTTTTATGAATAAAACCCTGTAACTCGGAAACGTAAAATCTAAAATTTATAAAAATCAAAAGGGAGCCCATGTTAATAGATATAAACAATTCACCAAAGTTTCATGAGAATTGGTGACAGCAGTTTTGAGTTATTGTCCAAAAACTGGAAAGTCACCCCTTTTTTTAATGAATAAAACCCCATAACTCAGAAATGTAAAATGTAAAATTTATAAAATTCTAAAGGGAGCTTACATCAATACATACAAACAATTCCCCAAATATTCATAAGAATTGCTGAAAGCATTTTTGAGTTTTTGTCCTAAAACTGGAAAATCCACCCTTTTTTTATGAATAAAACCCTGTAACTCAGAAACGTAAAATCTAAAATTTATAAAAATCAAAAGGGAGCTCATGTCAATAGATATAAACAATTCACCACAATTTCTTGCAAGTTGGTGAAAGCATTCTTGACTTATTGTCCGAAAACTGGAAAATCCCCCTTTTTTTTAATGAATAAAACCCCATAACTCGGAAACGTAAAATCTAAATTTTATAAAAAACGAAAGGGAGCTCATGTCAATAGATATAAACAATTCACCAAAGTTTTATGCAAATTGGTTAAAGCATTTTTGAGTTAATGTCCGACATGTTGACGACGGACAGACGGACGGACAGACGGACGGACGGACAGACGGACAACGGTATACCATAATACGTCCCGTAAACGGGCGTATAAAAACTTAATACACGGTTAGATTCATTATATTAAAGAACCCCAAGAATTCAAGAATAAAACCCCATTGAAATTGATCAAGAAATAAGCAATTTATACGAAGTATCTTCTTTTGCACAATACTGTGCAATTGAATATTTCTCGCTATTGCGCAATACTGTACAATTGACAATTTCTTGCTATTGCGAAATATTGTGCTATTGGATATTTCTTGCTATTGCGCAATACTGTGCAATTGAAGATTTCTTGCTATTGCGCAATACTGTGCAATTGAAGATTTCTTGCTATTGTGCAATACTGTGCAATTGAAAATTTCTTGCTATTGCACAATACTTATTATATAATAATTTACACATCCTGTTTGGTGTGTATCTCCTACCATATCATTATTATTTGCTTTTAAATATAAATAATAAATCAGAAATAACCAACTTAAAATGGAAAATTTTAAAAGAAAAAAAAAAGGAAATAAAGAAAAAAAATCCCCCCCCCCCAAATTTTTTGAACCCCCTTATGATTCATCACCCCAAACTCAATCCCAGCCTTCCCTTTGTGGTATGGTACCTTGCAGTACAATTTCAGAGAGATCCATACACTTGAACACAAGTAATTGTCTGGAAACTAGAAAAATGCTTATTTTTGGCCCCTTTTTGGCCCCCAATTCCTAAACATTTCGGGCAATTACCCCCAAACTCAATTCCAGCTTTCCCTTTGTGATATGGAACCTTGTAGTACAATTTCAGAAATATCCAAACACTTACACACAAGTTATTGTCATGAAACTAGAAAAATGCTTGTTTTTTGCCCTTTTTTTGGCCCCTAATTCCTAAAATTTTGAGGCAATTACCCCCAAAATCAATTACAGCCTTCCCTTTGTGATATGGAACCTTGTGGTACAATGTCAGAGAGATCCATACACTTACACACAAGTTATTGTCTGGAAGTTACAAAAATGCTTATTTTTGGCCCCTTTTTGGCCCCTAATTCCTTAACTGTTGGTACCATAACCCCCAAAATCAATCCCAACCTTCCTTTCGTGGTATTGAACCTTATGGTAATCCATTCACTTAAACTAAAGTTAGAGTGCGAAAACCAATGTGTCTTCGGACGACGCCGGACGACGCCAACGTCATACCAATATACGACCAAAAATTTTTTAATTTTTGCGGTCGTATAAAAATGCTTATTTTAGGCCCCTAATTCCTTAACTGTTGGTACCATAACCCCCAAAATCAATCCCAATCTTCCTTTTGTGGTATTGAACCTTATGGTAATATTTCATAGAGATCCATTCACTTAAACTAAAGTTAGATTGCGAAAACCAATGTGTTTTCGGATGATGTCGACGCCAACGTCATACCAATATACGTCCGCAAAAAAATAAAAATAGTTCTCTAAACTTAGATATGATGTTTTCAAATTTAAATCAAATATAATTAATAGTTCCCAATATTTTTTCTTTCATTTGTCACAAACTAATATCTTATCTGCAACTTATCTATCAATGTCAACAACTTTATCTACACAATGTAATGTAAAGAAATATATCCTTTAATAAAATTAGATTATTATCTAATGAAAATGATATTTGCAAATCTAGACACCCAAACAGGATCAAGTAAAAATTTAACCTTAACACACACAACAAAAATAAAATACCACATATTAAACTGTGATATCTACCTTCAAAACACACATGACTTAAAAAAAAATAGTGAAAAAGAAATTTTTGACAACTCCTGACTAATCAGTTGAACAGATACAATCATTGATAGACTATCTATACATCTCAGCTATACATAAACTTATTAATTGCTGTTCAAAGGGAAATAACTCAATCACATAATAAGTAAATTTCTGGTTCCTAAAAGGGTCCAAAATTCAAGAAAGAGAAAAGCTAAAGTCATGAAAATTGAACTTGACCTTCATTTAGTCACAGGAAACAACATATCAAAATTTGAAAAAATTTCATTTAAATGAACAGACACTGTTTGGCAGCCGCCCGCCCGCCATATATCCCAATAATCAATAACCGATTTTTCCTTCGAAAATCCTGTTAAAAATACAATATTGATGAATATTATTGATCATAAAGAAAGAGAAGATATATTTGGCAAAAAGTTATGATTATATATCACACCATTCAAGATTTGGACACACACAGTTGCCTTACAATGAATGATATTAGCTTACCTGTAATTATTGTATTTCCTTCATAATTGAATGCACAACTAAATATTTCATCTGTATGTCCTTCTAATATTTGCTTACAAGATCCATTCTCTGGATCCCATAGTCTAGCTGTCTTATCTGAACTGGCTGTTAATACTGATGTTCCTTGTGGATTAAATGTTATCTGTCAAAATACATATCCAAATATTTATTATCTTTTGTAAGAAATATATCTATAGCTCTTCTCAATCATTTTGATAAACCTTTAAATTTAATGAACATTGGTATTTCAACATTCTAAGAAAAACTTTCATTACTAAATAAAGTTCTTATTGAGAGTGGAATTTGCATAAAAGTTAATATGAAAGTAGTCTTTATTTGTGTATAGATGTTTTATTTCATTTTTCAGAAAATATTTGCAATCCTGTCCTTGTAGAATTACATTGTTCCTTCACACAACGCAAGGCCTGTGTTGATATTGGTCAATACTTCTCTTTTTATTCATATCTAAAGTATCTTAATATTTTAATAGTATTTTTCGATCTATTCCAAAACCTAAGAACTTATTATTTTAAGGCAAAGTGATACATTTACTTATATTTTTTTGTGTTTTTGTAACACTTGTAAAACACCATATGAACTCAAAATGAAACATTGATTACCATGCTAATTTTGACAAAAGACTTAAATTAGGAAATTTGTAAAAAAATGTGAAAAATTTTACAGTAGACTATGATAAAGTAATTTTATACATGTAAATCTACCTTTGATATCTCTCCTTCATGGCCTTCAAACTTTGAAATTAACTGATGAGTGACAGCATTATAGCAACGTGCTGTTCCATCCGCTGATGCTGTTAATAACATTTGACCAGTATAATCAAAAGCAACATCTAAAACTTCATCATCATGTCCTCTTAAAGTTCCTATACATCGACCTGTAAAATGAAATCATTATTTCCAAAATCCATACACCTTCCATCTTGTTTGTTCTAGTGTAATAGTAATATTCACAAAGGTAAAAACTTGTAATTTTTTTCATAACTTATGATAGAAAATTATTTTATATAATTGTAATGAACTTGATTACTGTATGTATAATGAAATGTAGGAATAAGTATTTTAATGTTCATTTTATTATATGTGTTTATTATTCAATTTTAAAGTTGATAAGAAATACACCAATGGTATTATGAATGACTGGGTCATTACCACTGCAGTTGGGTGTTTCTTCTCTGAGGGTATTACCAGTCCAGTATTCAGCACTTCTGTGCTGGCTTGGAATATCATTGAAATGTCATTTTCTGTAATTTTACTCTTAATAGGATGTTGAAATTATTCAAAACACTCAGTTTTATCAATACCAAGGCCAGGTTTGGCACAATTTTTTGGAATTTTTTAATTTCTATTACTCGTCAACTTCTTTAATAGATTTGGCCTTCCAACTGTTTTTATTAGAGAGCCACTGGTGAGTCTTATGTAAACAAAAGGAATGTCTGCCTTACTAAGTTATAACATATCTTAATGTTATAAGTATCTTAATGAATTTTTTTCTTGAGTCAATTCTTCAGAATATATACCTAGAGGTCAGCTAAATCTACTAACCTGAAGGAGTGTCCCAAATTTTACATGTCTTATCCATAGACCCTGTTGCTATTAATGAACAGTCCCAATTAAACTGGGCACTGCTGATCTCAGCTTTGTGACCAATTAATGTATGAATTCGCCTGAAATTAAAATAAAATGCAACTAATATTGTGAAATGTAAAAATATAATGAATGGATGAACAGTTTATGAGTATGTTTCCTTGTGAAGGAATTATATCTCCTAGAGCAATTATTATTTTTATTGTCTATAACTGATATTTTACACCTTGATTTTGGGAAAAAGATTGATTGATTTTTGCTTGCTTAAGGGCAAACGATACAGTTTTTGATCCCACGGCAATTTTTTGACGAAAAATTTGCATAGAAACTATTTTTAACCTAGTCAATTCAAATATGTAATAAACAAGCATTCTGAGAGTATTGCATGGCAATACATAGTCCCCTACCGGGTAAAAATTCATTATACTGGAACAAAATTCTAACTTGTTCTATAACTTGTCATGGTGTAAACAAAAAGAAAATATCAAGTCAATATCTTCAAGCATGACTAAAAACAGTGTGGAAAACTGAATATATGAGTGAATTTTTTCAAGTCTAAGGACCATAACTCTGCACAAAATTATCAGACCGAAACAAAAATTTGAACTTGATCTGTAACTTGTCATGATAAAACTATTTACCAATTGTCAATCAATATATTCAAGCATGATGAAAAAAAGTGGGGAAAACCTATAACACTCTAACATTAGATATGATGTAATACAATGTATATCTATTTTCAAATTACAATCAAATATAATTAATAGTTCCAAATATTTTTTCTTTCATTTGTCACAAACTAATATAGATTTGTAACTTACCTATAAAATGTCAACAACTTGTATCTACACAATGTAATGTAATGAAATATATACCTTAATTAAAATAGATTATTATCTAATTAAAGGATTTCACTTAATAAAAATATATATATATATATACATGTAGCATTCAGAAAATTAGTTTATACAAAATAACATATAAACCTGCCACAAAATTCCTCAAACAATTTACCAAAGAATGTCTTTTAAAATAATGAGTTATTTCCCTTTGTACAGATTATATGGTTTAACATAGTACTCTAACATTAGTTAAGGAGTTTTTTCATGGACCATAACTCTGGACTAAATCATCAGACAGGAACAAAATTTGAACTTGATCTATAACTTCTCATGATTAAACTATATACCAAATATCAAATCAATATCTTCAAGAACGAAGAAAAAAAGTGTGGAAAGCTGAGTTGCCGGACTGACGGATGGACAGACAGATGGACGGACAGACAGACGGACAGAGTGCAAACCTAAAGTCCCCTTTGACTTCGTTGGTAGGGGACTAAAAATATACCTTCATGTGCTACTTTTAGAGATAATTGGGGTCGAAATTTTAGACATTTCCTCAATATATTAGTTTCTTGGACATTTCTATCCTTTGAACAGACATAACTATTTTTTTTGTTTCAAAAGATAATTACAAACGGATTTTGTAAAAACATTTTATTTATCGTCTAAACATAAGTATACCATAAGTTTGCGTAACAATTCTTTGGAAATAATTTATTTTTATTATTTTTTCAGGATTTTAGAAAAAAACATAATTTTTTGCTGTATATTTATCCAATTTAAAAAAAAATCATCAGTGATTTCTTCATAAAAATTGGTACAAACAATCGTCATACATAATCAAGCTAAATTTCATTTTAAAAAAAAAGGATCCATTTACTTGTTTTCAAGCTAATGATTAAAATCAGTCGAAAAATGCATCTTTTCCCAATATTTCACCATATGACATGGCAAAAAATAACATTTAACGCTAGCAACGTCATTACCTCCCCTGTAACTGTATCCTATGCCTTTAACGCCCAGTGGCATGGAAAAAAGAACAAAAATGTCCTTGTACCAAATACCATTTATTTTTTCCTTATCCTGATCGAGCATAAGTGCTGATTTCATGGTCACAATATGTTTATTTGTTTAACTATATGTGATCATAAGATACAAAAACTTTTTAAAATGTTTCGTTACTAAATTGATGAAATAAAGGCCAGAGCAACAATGTGTCCATAAGGACACCCTGCCCCGCTTCCACTATCCTACTATGTCCATGTTCAGTGAATCATGAAATATTGGTCAACACACAACAGTCTCACAAGAAACATGTGTACTAAGTTTCAAGTTGATTGAACCAAAGCTTCATGGTAAACTAACTTAAATAAAAACTTTAAACTTAGAATGTTCTAATTTTCAAATATCACATTTCTATTATCAGTGAACCTTTTGATTGTTATCAAAACTGTCATTTGGCATATAATCTAAAAAGTTCACATCATGATGAACATGTGTACTATGTTTCAGAGAGTTCATTTCAAGATACAAACCATAAATTTTTTTTAATTGTAGGCATGACAAAAGAAAAATCATTCTACTATAACTTTTATTAACTGTCCAGTCTAAGTGCCAAAAAAGTCAATCAACTCTATCTTAATTCCTTTTATATAAAAGTCTTTAAAATTTCTACAGACTTCATAAAACGAGGCTTACGGGTTTAACTATTGTATTTCTCTCTGATGCAATGCATGATGGACAACACTTTAACTATATGGAATAGAAATAAACACTTAAACTAGTGTTAGGGAATATAAATGAACAGTGCACAGAATCAAGGTGCAATCAGGAAAACAGCACCCCTTTTGACATCAATCTTCTATAAAATATTTGGGGTTTTGGTTTGTGTTAATCTATTGTCTTAAAGCTTTTCCTCATAGTTAGATCTGATTACACTTTTAATTATACTTTTGTATAGTAATATTTAACAAGTTTTTCAAAATAATTCTTTAATAATTTAAATACTCACTTGCCAGATTTGACATCCCAAACAGATACTGTGTGGTCAAAAGAACCTGTTATTAGTTGGGAACCGGTTGAATTAAAAGACAAGGATATGATTTCTGCAGAATGTCCCTGTAACAAATTATAAAATCAATTCATTAAGTGTTATTTAAAATTTGTTTCATCAATCAATGTATTGGAACACTATGAACCTATACATACATTCTCAGTTTGTAGTGCATATGTGTTGCTCAATCTTCAATATAAGGTTTAATGGGCTACTACTGTATGTCTTTCCATTTTTTTCCCCTATTTCCATGTTTGTGTTTGACTGATATTATTATTGATTGCCTCTTCGTATCATCTTATTTTTTGTACAGGAATATATAATTACAACTTGTAAACAAATACTGTTAAAAAAATTTAAATACCCTCCCTTAAAGTCCATATAGCAGTCAGTCTTTGGGAATAAGAAAATTTATCTATCATGGCCTCAGTAAACCATATTGTCAAAATAAGGGAATATTCTTCCTCATTATATGAGATGTTACCCAAAACACATCTTCTTATTTTTAGATTCAGTCTTATAAAATAAATCAATTCATCTTATAAGCTTACTTACACTAAGAGTGACTAATTCACTTCCAGTCTGAACATCCCATAATTTTGCTGTTGTATCCATACTACCAGTAGCTATTATAGAACTCTGTGGATTAAAACTTAAACAAACCTACAAATAGGAGAAGTCAAAGTAAATGTTCCTTTTTTTCACTGTTCTGATGATAATGGAAGGCTGTTTAACATCCAGCAGTAAATCAAATGCATATTCAGGACGAAAACATTTTAATGCAATGTGAATATATGCCATGCTTCGCACTAGACTGACACACTGAGGCCTATTCAAACAGACTGCAGGAAGACATTTTAGACTGACACACTGAGGCCTATTCAAACAGACTGCAGGAAGACATGTCACCCTACCTGGACATATTATTCTGACTCCAAGCTGACAGTCTTTGCTCTTTCTCCTTCATGCCACATGCTTATCAGAAAAGTAACAAATACCAATTTTAAAGTCTTTGGTTTGACCAGGCCATCCATCCATCCATCAAGCATGTCATACAATAAAAACTTTAACTAACTGTTTTGCCCCATTGTTCCTTTTCTTGCAACAGTGCATACAATGGTTGGTTGATAGCAACAACAGATGTTTGAATGATTTAGCCTAACTTTGACTTAAATTGACCGAGCGATTTCAGAAATGAAGATTTTATAGAAAGTCTACGTATAAATGATTATGAGTGATGTCCAAAGACGTGTTATGGAAATATTTAATACAACCTCTATTGGCGAGCTGAGCTAAAACTATACTAGAAAAGAAAGGACATGGGGTATCCATCCATGACACAAAATCAGTACATGTACAGCAAATAAACTGCTTCGCTGAGCACAGCTAGATACGCCCGTAGAGGTCCAACCCTGAACAGTTGGGGCAAAAATGGACACAATATTCAAGCTTGATACAGGTCTGAATTTGGATTGTAATTAAATATTTGACATATTATAGGTTTCTGAATAAATGTAGTCAAAGAACTTGAAATTGGTTATATGAATTGAATTTATATTCAATTAAAGATTTCTTGCTGTTGTACAATACACTGTGCTGTTGTGCAATACACTGTGCTGTTGCGCAATACTTAGTAAATCTGTTGTCAGACTATAAACAAATAAAATCTTATAACACGGAAACGTAAAATCGAAAATTTATAAAAATCAAAAGGGAGCTTACATTAATAGATATAAACAATTTACCAAAGTTTCATAAAAAATGCTTTCAGCATTTTTGAGTAATTGTCTGAAAACTGGAAAATCCCCCTTTTTGTAATGAAAAAAAACCCATAAACGGAAACGTATAGTCTAAAATTTATAAAAATCAAAAGGGAGCTCATGTCGATAGAAATAAACAATTCACCAAAGTTTCTTGCAAATTGGTGAAATTGTTTTTGAGTTATTGTCCGAAAACTGGAAAATCCCCCCTTTTTTAATGAATAAAACCCCAAAACTCGGAAACGGTACATCTGAAATTAATGAAAAACGAAAGGGAGCTCATGTCAATAGATATAAACAATTCACAAAAGTTTCATGCAAATTGGTGAAACTGTTTTCAAGTTATTGTCCGAAAACTGGAAAATCCCCCCTTTTTTAATGAATAAAACCCCAAAACTAGGAAATGGTAAATCCGAAATTTATTAAAAATGAAAGGGAGCTCACATCAATAGATATAAACAATTTACCAAAGTTTTATGCATATTGGTTAAAGCGTTTTTGAATTAATGTCCCACATGTTGACGACGGACGGACAGACACCAGTATACCATAATACGTCCCGTAAACGGGCGTATAAAAACACAAAAAGCAAAGGAACAGTGCTTATATTACTGTTGTTCATCTCAAAGTAACAGTGAGGTCTTCAACACGAAGCAAAAAATTTCACCTCACTGCAAGTCTAAGATGGCCTCTAGCACAGGATTAATTTTTATGCAAACTGACACTCATGCCACAACTGTGAATTGAAGAACAAAGCCATGGAGTAATATCAATAAAATAAATCTGGCAAAGAAATCAAACATTGCCATTATTAGCCTGACAATCACACTGAAGAGTGCAAAAATAATACAAACATATGAATACAACAGAATACATTATTACTTCCTGCTTAAAACAGAACATTAAAAATGCTTACATTATGTTAAACAATTAAGGATCTAAATACTTTATATATTTGATAAAAGATGTTGGTAAAACAACATAGAAAGATGCATCAATAGTAAATAGGAAAATATGTTTTTAATGCATTTGCATATTAATATATCTTACAATTTCAGCAGAATGACCTCTATATGTATGATAACATTTGCCTGTTTCTGAACTCCAAAGCTTACAGGTCTTGTCAAATGAACCGGTGGCAATTTTATCTCTGAAAATATAATAAATGTATAACTAAATTGTACTATATTTTGTGTTTTAATAACACTTTAAACAAGATGAACTGTGATGTATTACTGACTTACTATACTCCTGCACAATGCAGTTGGTCACATGGTATGGCATGACCAGATAAAGCTGCATGCCATATATTTTAAGGCATAGGCTATTACTTTTAGTTCCAGAAAAAAATTGAGACAAAAATTAATGTATGTGCATTAATTCTAAAGAAACATTTTTTATCAAAGACGTTCAACGGAAATGAAAACATGTCACATGGTATGGCATAACCAGATGGAGCTTGGTGCCATATATCAAGACTTGTAGCTGCCGAGAAACATGACAGAAATATGTTACAGACAAACTGATAGAAGGAAAGATGAAACCAGTATATCATCTTTTTTCAAAGTGGGTTATTAAAATCTCAGTGTGTAGGCTGTATATCAACCTTTAATCAATGTATTTAATATCTTTCTGCAAATTTACAAATATGAACATTTTTGTATACAATCACCTATAATATACAAGTAACTTCCTCTCTTGTGTGTTATGTCTAGGTTAGTCTATGGAAAGGTATATACTATGAAATTTAGAGCGAGGGCTTGCCCCGAGCTCTTAATTTCATAGTATATACATTGTTTTGTACCTTTTCATAGACTATCCAATTTAGCACATATTTACAACTTGAGTAATCTTTTAATTGGTCTATTGATAGTTTATTTTGGCTGACTACTTGTATCACAGGTGTTTGTAAAACGAAGCTCATTAACAAAGTTTTGTAAATCTACTCACTAGTATCATTGTAAAATATGTGATTTCAAAAGGCCCTTCACTCCAGAATGAAAAGATGGTAGCTGCTGGTGTAAGTATGTCTTCAGACATAATCACAGTTTTTCAATTCATGACATCGTCCTAAACATGCATGAAATATTTGCCACTGGACATTAAGCAACCAATAATCAATAAATCATTCAATTCATGACGAAATAGATCACCTTCCTTAAGAAAGTTTAAAAAATTATCACAAGTTGCTTTAATTTTCCTTCACAAGGTTTCATAGTACACACTTTTCTGTGTACAAAGTAATTGCATGGATGATACATTATCATAATTTTAAGATATCGTTGTACTCTAATCAAGGTATAAAGAACCATATGTATTACCCTTAATTTAAATGATAAAATTTGCAATTGTCAAAAACATTTTTTAGATCCAAAGATTTTAATAGCAGGATATTTAAAAATCAACGTGAAAACTAATTACAAACTATTTAATTTAATTTGGAACACAGCATTTTATTTCAAAATAGCCAGTGGCAATTTTTGTTTTAAATATCTTGATTACGATACAATGAAATCTTACCCTTGTGGTCATTCATGCGTAGTTACTTAGTACACAGGAAAAGTATGTACTATGAAAATTAGAAGGCAAATAATTATAAGCAATTTGATTGGACGAGAAGTTGTAAGTATGTGCTAAACTGTGATAGTACTTTTGTTCGTGGGTATCAATTTTCGTGGATTGAGCAAAAGTTACATGTTCGTGGGTTCTTAAATTCGTGGATTTTTGTTTTCTGAAAAAACTTAGGTAAAGATCCCATCTGAAATGAAGATTCTTGAAAATAATTATATGTTGTTCATTTTCACTTACATGTTCGTCTTTCATTTCTAATAACATTCATTAAATTTTCAATAACATGATTGCTTTCAGAAATAAGCTGATTATTCATCTCTGAATACAAATTGTCTCATTGAAGGAAATTGCAAAGTAAACATTTTAATTGTTGCACACATGTAATCAGAAGAGGTGACACTAATAAACCGGAGATCGAACAATCAACAGATTAACGATCATCAAAGGTGTTAATTGGGCCATAAATTAATTAAAATATAATTAAAGATTAAAATCCAACTGAAGTTGTACATGCTACACTGGTGCTACTTCATTGCGTATAGTTCATAATACGTTTGTTGATATTCAAGGTTTTCTCTAGATTACTATGATTTGCCCGTATCTTTGTAATCAAACCAACAGGGGATCTTTCTATGTGTTTTTTTGGACAACAGTTGTAATATTTCGTTGGACACTTGTGTTCGTGGATAAAGCCATCCATGAATACCACAAAAATTGGTACCCCACGAATAAAAGTACTTTCACAGTATATAAGTAAAAATATAATGCTGTAGTGAAGTGGTTCTTGGCAAGACCACTGTTTTGACAAAGAACAATATCATTGCCTTAATCTATAATCAAGTCTTATTGTCAGAACAGAATGGGAATAAAACGTCTATACATTACTGTGATTGATCAATATTCATGTAATACCCAATTTTCCTGTATTTCAATAGCAATATCAAAAAACTAAACAAAAAAAACAAATTTTCAGAAACTTCTATGGGAGCAAATGTTGAAACCAAATCTGGTATCCTCAAAATATCAAAACATTTATCCAAACCAGAAAAATTGGAAACACAAGAATATAAATGAAATAAATAGGGAATGTGTCCATGGGACACAGATGATGCCCCCGCTTGCATATCATATAAAGTTATAAAAGGACATAACTGAAGAACGGTAAAAGTGACACTACTCAAATTTGTTCTTGATCTGAGTTTCTGTGGTAATAAGTGTTGTGTATAAGTTTCTTAACATTCGGTTGAGGCAAACTTAAGTCAGAAAATGGAAACGAAAAATTCAGCAATTTTTCCATTTGTAAAGGGCACAACTCTAGAACAGTAAAAGTGACGCCACCAAAATTCAATCTTGATCTGTATTTTGTGGTAATGAGCATTGTGTATAAGTTTCATAACATTTGGTTCAGGTAAACTTAAGTTGGTGAACGGAAACAAAAAATTCAGCAATTTTTCCATTTGTAAAGGGGCATAACTCTAGAACAGTTAAAGTGACACCACCAAAATTCAAACTTGATCTGTATTTCATGGTAATAAGCATTGTGTATAAGTTCATAACAGTTGGTTGAGGCAAACTAAAGTTAGAGAACGGAAACTAAAAATTCAGCAATTTTTCCATTTATAAAGGGGCATAACTCTAGAATGGTTAAAGTGACGCCATAAAAATTCAAACTTGATCTGTGTTTTGTGGTAATAAGCATTGTGTATAAGTTTCATAACATTTGGTAAACACAAACCAAAGTTAGAGAACTGAAACCAACTTTGGGACGTACGTACAGACAGACAAGGGTAAAACTTAATGCCTGCTACGGCAGGGGCATAACAAAAGTATTCAAATTTTGGAAAGAAACGATAACAACATGACCTAACTGATTGAATCTTGATACATACTTGTAGTCAGTTGAGAAAACCAGGAGTCAAGTTTAATCTTTAGGAGTCTAGGACTTTTGAACTGGTCTTAGTTAGAACCCTGAGAGTCAAGTATATATATTGTGTTCATTAAGACGGATCAGATATTGAAGAAATACAAAACATTATAAAAACCTTACCCATAAGGATTATTAAATGCTATGGCATACACTACATTTTTGTGGCCTTCTAATGTATGAAGCTCCTCCCCTGATGCTGTGTCCCATACTTTACAGGTTCTATCATAACTTCCTGTTATAAAACTACAAAACAAAACAATTTATACAATCAATGATAATGCAATAAAACAAGATCACTCAAGGAGTCTGAATCTCTTACCTTTCGTATATGCATATGTATATACAAAAAAACAAAAGTTTACAATATTATCATGGATATAACCTTACTTATTAAAAAAATCATCTGATTACATATCTCTGTTAAATCCTGCATAATAGACTATTTTCATATTACAGACTTTTAACTTTTAACTTTTTGACCTACTCTGTGGTAGGACATCCTGGAACTCGGTCAAGTAAGAGAAATCAAAAAAAAGTAAAATCAAATATATAATCATTGCAATTTGGGGGGAAATTTTCTGTTTTGTGATGATTTTGTTGAGTATAAAAAAAACATAAAACAGTGAATTTCCCCCAAAAATTACAGATTGAAAGCTAAATTCTACTTTTTTATGTTGCCCTTACCTGACTTTGTGTGATCCTATTTTGTGTACATTTATTTATCTGTAAAAGTCTTTTGATAAAAGTAAATAATTTTCTCATTATCTTAAATGATATTACCTTTGATACTCATGTATAATTTGAAAATTTGGGAGTGAAACTGATGATTAAGAAAGGGGGACCAATTTATAAGCAAAATCTACCAACTGAAGGAAAAATCTAAGTCAGAGAAATTCCAGGTGAAAACTAGGACAAAGGATTTCAAATCTGCACAAGTGAATAATTTTCACCCCAAATAAAATAATACTGTACTTTGTTGTTGTTTTATTTGTTTTCTGTAAGCAAGTTTCTCGTTTCTGTCATGTGTATTGAATTTCCCAGTGTAATCATTTTGTGTATTGATTTTATCATGGTCACATGGTTTGTGTATATCCTTCGAAGAGTTAAAAGACCAGAAATTACAAATTAGTTTTTTTCAAATCTACACCGACACCATCCTTATGGCAGATCAACAGTGACCCATTTTCAAGTCCGTAATCTAAAGCAAAAATGTTTTTCTTTTAGCCTCAAATGCAATTGTTTCACGATTTTAAATCTTGCTTAAAAATAGAGATGGATGGATGGATGGTTGTTTAATGTCCAGTGGCAAATTAAATGCATAATCAGGATAGGATCATACTTATTTGATATGAATATAAACCTTGCTTTGTACTATACAGAGCCCAATCTTGAACATGATGGTTAAAAAGGTAACAGTCTGCAGGAAGACATGCCACCCTACCTGGACACATTATTCTAACTCTGTGTCGACCAGTTTTTGCTCTTACTCCTTAACACTTGCTCATCAGAGAAGCAGCAAGTACCAATTTTCAAGTCTTTGTTTTTAGGCCAGAGTTTGAATCCACAACTTCCCACTCGAGGCCGGTACGCTACCATGAAAGCACAAAAAAAATAAAGAAGTTGAAGCAATGAATGAGAATATATTCATTGATTGATCGATTGATTGTTATCTTCTGAACATCCAATGACAAATATTTCATGCATATTTGTACATGTTATATATATAACTAATGTACTGACGTTGTGGTAACTCACCTTGACCCTGACTTGTTAAATCCTACATTGGTTAATGGTAAGATATGGGCTCTCAGAACCTACAATGAAAATTTCAAAATGTTAGTGCAATAAATTATCATACCTAAATAAAGTTTGCCTCCAAGAAGCAAAACTTGCTTTTTTTTTATATTTCCTAGATTTTAGTAAAAAAAAAAAACTGAGCGTAAAAAAAATTAAGGTGCATCACATTATATATACTTATACCATAAAACTTGATATAAACTAAATATAGATATAAAGTATAATACCATTCATATAATTTACCTTAAATAAGTAGAAGTGATGATCATCTTTTTGTGCTAATTTTTCTTGAAGTCCTGAGATAATTGTTAAGGTAATTTTCAACATCTATCATTATAGCTGTAAATACATTTGTGTAAATTCAACAATTTGCCAATGCTATGTTAAAACTTTCAAGTTAGAAATATGAACAACAGTAAAAATTACGATGTGTGCATTCCTCATCAATATATGTTTGACACACAATCATACATCTCCCATTAAAATGGGGGACACAACTACACATTTGAATTAATTCTGTCCAGGATTATTCAATTGCAAAGTAAACCTGTCATATTTTCAATATCAAAAAAATTATCTTAGCTGAAATGGAAACAAACATTTTAATCAAAAGATATTTGACTCCAAATGGTACCAAGTAAGTCTATTTCATTTCAGATTCCAATGTACTCCATAGTAAATTTGTTATTGATAGGAGCCTCTGGCCTTTGTTAGTCTATTATGTTTTTTAATTTTAGTTCATTTATATGTTTTGGAGTTTAGTGTGATGTCTATTTTCACTGAACTAGCACACAATTTTATTTAGGGGCCAGCTGAGGACCACCTCCGGGTATGGGATTTTCTCTCTGCATTGATTGATTGTTGGTTGCTTAACGTCCAGCTCTCTGCATTGAAGACACATTGGTGGCCTTTGGCTGTTTTCTGCTCTTTGGTCAGGTTGTTGTCTCTTTGACATATTCCCCATTTCCATTCTCAATTTTATTTTAACTTAATCAAATATCAGTAAAGGTTATAATTGGTCATGGAAAACCCCCAAAAAGTTCTCAGAAGAGCACAATTCCACATATAAAGTTTCTTTTCATTCACATCTAGACTGTAGAATCTATTATTTGCAGCTGTCATACTAACAATTACAGATTGTATTTGAGTGTAAAGATATGTAGTAAAATTGCATTCTTCCTATTTAATAATAAATAGTAGATAGTCTTTATATGTAATTATCTTGGTTGTTTAAAGAAAGGATACTCTGTATGAGCTTTCTAACTTGATCTGCTTTGGAAGCTGTTATTAATGGTTCCTTCCTGGAAATCTCATCCACTACAGCATCTACATCTGTTCTGCAAGAATTAAAACAAAAATTAAACAAAGTTACGAAAAATTACGAAATCCAACTTCTTTGTCAATACTGTGCATGCATCGTAATATACTGATAGAGGAAAAATAGGTTTACCTGTCTATAGATAACAGCTGATCAGTACACATCAATTAATGGTGATTTGAAACCATTAAATAATAAATGGGGAATGATGATGCCCCCGCTAGCATATAATGGGATAAACGTAACAGAACTCAAGAACGGTAAAAGTGACACTTCCCAAATGTGTACTTGATCTGCGTTTTGTGGTAATAAGCATTGTGTATAAGTTTCAAAACATTTGGTTGAGGCAAATTAAAGTTAAAGAACTGAACAAAAATTCAGCAATTTTTACATTTGTAATGGGGCATAACTCTAGAACAGTAAAAGTGTTGCCACCAAAATTCAAACTTGATCTGTGTTTTGAGGTAATAAGCATTGTGTATAAGTTTCATAACATTTGGTTGAGGCAAACAAAAGTTAGAGAACGGATACAAATTTTGACGTACGTACGGACTTACAGACGGACAAGGGTAAAACTTAATGCCCCCTTTGCTACGACAGGAGCATAAAAATCTTTATACCATTACATTGCATTATGAGTTTGTGTTTCTTGTCTTATTCCAATCAAAATGCCTAATTGTGAAAGATGTTTACAGGAGGCAATTAAAAAATCGGAATTGAACAGAAGTTTGGTTGACTTTTTAGTACTATGGGAGTCTGCTATGTTATATATCTTTAATTTTCAGTGTTCTCCCCAGGCCCTTAAAGGACCGCGGGCCCGCGATGTATAATTTTCTACCGTGGTGGTATCGTTCTTGCCGCGATGTATAATTTTCCTCCGTGGTGCTAAAATTTTCGGTAAAAAAATCGTAAATCGGTAAAGTTTTAAACGACTTGTTAAACCTTTTCCGTCGGGTATAAAATTTCAGATGAAAATTGACCAGTTCAAACAACTTGATTGTTTACACCACGTGATCGATTTACCTTTTGAGGTTAACCTTGATGATTGGATTTAATCGATGTACATGATTCTTTTGTGTTTTAATTAATTAAGAGATCATAATTAATGATCAGACTTGTGAGGGACAAGCAGATATTTGCTAATTAACTCTATTACTCCAGCCTTTGGTTAAAAATAACTTGCGTATTTTAAACGTGTTGGAGTTACTTCCCCTGAATTAGCTTATTACAAATAAGTGCTCCTAAAATATCATCTATCATTGAAAATAGAAATAAAGTACAAATTGAATGCAAAATTATATAAGAATGTTACCTTAAGGATAAAAACTTTCTTTGAACATACCAACAAAAATATATTGCAAATTATTTTTGATAATCATACTTTTATTAATGCACAGACATATTATAATAAATAGGTAGTATTTTCTAAATGGTAACTGATTTCTTCCCAGTCTTTAAACACTGATTGGAACTCAGTGGAGCAATGTGACCGTATTCATTGCATTTGTAGCATTTTTTTAGATTTTGTTGACCCTCATATCTTATAGTTACAAGCTGCCCCTGAATGTATATTTTTCTTGGAATCGGTTTTTCCAATGATGCAATTCTGATAATTCTGACTCCTGACTGAATAGAAGGAAAGTTCTTAAATGTAGGCGATATCAATTTGATTATTTTACCATACTGACTTATTTTTTTGTGGACAATTGCAGGTTTAACTTCGAACGGCATCCCGTATATAAGGACATCTATGAAATCTTTTTTGTTCTCCCATTTGAGAGGACCAGCCTTTTCTGTTGTAAATTCAGTGTTTCCTATTTGAAATTTCGCAAATTCACCCAAAATTTTTTGCAGACTTGTGATGTTTTTGCAAGTTACCATGTATTGTTCTTGATTTATCCTTTGAAGACAAATTATTAAGTCTGATACGTTAATAGTTGTTTGAAAATGTGTCAGAATATCTGTTGTCGTAATTTTATCTTCGTTTTCTTTTTGTATTATATCACTCAAATTTTCTTTTTGAAACGGGCTTGTTTTTATTATCTTTGCTGTCAAATGCCTTGCAATAGATTTGTTTATGGTTATTCCATCTCCATATTGACTATCACCATCTTGACTGTTAGATTCATATTGATAACCGTCATAACCATCATTTTCAGTTTCCATTTTGTGTATATATAATGTCAAAAGGAAACCGTTTTAAACAGGTAAATATTGTTCACTCACTAATGAATGAGCGACACATTTAGTAAACACGAGTATCGGTTTATCGTATTACTTATTAATTAATGTATGTTTACATTTTGATTATTTAACATAAAAACAGTACTTATCACTACTTGTTGTCTGTTTCCTCAAAGTGGAATTTCGAAGAAAACACTAATTTTCACTAAGACTCCGGAGCAGATGAAAAACACGTCTGTTCACCTGAACGTCATCAAAAACACGACCGTTCCGTTTTGTCAACTTTTCGAGGTAGCACTAGTCTCAAAAACTTTTAATAATAATTTAATCTTGTTTAAATTTAATTGTTATGGTGTAATCTAACAAAAATGGGGAAAGTGTAGTGTAACTACAAGTATCAGGACAAATTGGCTTGATCAAAATATAAAAAGTGACTTAAGTTTAAAGACTAATAGTGCTTTCTTTTATTTATTCTTAAAAGAAATTAAAGTATACAAACTGTTTATTGATTTACTTCTTTTTTTACCAGTAATTTTTGACCCAAAGTCTACATAACACAGTAAACAAAACAAAGACAAAAAGGTAATGACACAAAAACTAACAAGAAAAAAAAAAGCAATGCAACGCGACACAGCATATTGTACAAATCATTTTGACACGCGTTACCCTGGTGCTATCCAAAAATCCTGGGGAGAACACTGATTTTGACTGTTGGTATTTTAATTTGAATATTTGATAAAAGAAAAAAACAAACTTTTGAGATTTTTTTTAAACCCTATAGATTTTTCAAATGGATCATTCTAGCAATCATCCTGGGAAACATAAGACGATAATTTCAAAAAAAACGTAGAAATTTTTTTTAAAACCTTTTTGATGTTTCAAATCAATCTTTCTAAATTTCAAAAAACTAGAAAAAAAATTTTCTTTAGAAATCATTTAGATTTTAGAAAAATGGGGACAAATGCAGTCAAGATAGAACAATCATGGCTTGTCTAAAATTCCTATTAAATGATAAATAAGGCTTAAGTACACTGTACCTTAATATTGTGCATTTACTGAGCACAGCTGCTGTGTTGCCATTGAACACAGCACAGGTAGAGAGGATCTTTTCCCAGGTAAAACTTGTAAAGCGTGACCATAGTAACAAACGAAACAAAGCTAACTTGTGACAAGCAATGCTTTGAAAACTTGTGTGATAAGGTGCTTGACAAGTTTTTCAGCACAAAAAGTAGAAGATAAGAATTCTATCTGGGCTTATCATTCAGTAGTGTAATTTCTTGTCCTGTTGTACTTGTATATATACATAACCAGTGTTTCAATGAATAAAGACAATTTTTGATATCATTTCACACGTTAAATACCCTTTTCAGGATTGGCACCCTGCCCTTTCGAAATCCTAGCTGGAACACTGCTAGCCAATCTTCCATCAGTATTTAGTTTTATACTTACTCTGGTTTTAAATCTAAAAGATCGATTGATTTGGTTTTTAAGTTCCCTCCTTGTTCATATTCTAAAATAATACCTGAAAAAAATATACAAGAAACATGAAATACATATACATAAATAATTATAAGTACAGAAATGTACATCACATGTAAATTTTCTTTGATTGGCCTAAATTGTAACTGCTGACTGTGTTGATCTTAAAAAAAACATGTATTACATGCAAGTCAGGAATTTGTTACCAGAAATCGACTTAAACATTTATTTAATTCTTTCATTAAATAGATTTAGCATAAAGAAGTCATAAGCAGTCTGAGAAAAGCATGACAGTGATTTTGCTAGCGCTCGTCAGTTTCGTCATTTACGAAACGGTTTTCAAAATGACGAAAGTATTTGAAATCAATTTCGTCACTTAAATTTGGACAGTGTAAAAATATTTTTACATGAAAATACTATAATTCTACATGTCTTCTTGTTTCTGACAAGTTTATGACCCTCAGCTAATTAATGTTTATCACAGGTGTTAAATTTGTGATTACAGGTAATCCGCTTATCGCCATCAGATGGGTCACTAATCCGTTAATTGACCATCATAATTATTTTTCTCAGTAAAATCAGTCAGTCGGCATTTCAATTTCAATATTTTTTTAACAACCACAATTTGCAGTTCGTTTATCGTAGTTTCGTCATTTAAACAATATTGTTTATCCCCAGACAGTTCTCCTTTAAATTTCAATATTACTCAAATGATCACAACTTGCAGTTTGTTTGTCGTAGTTTCGTCATATAAACGTATTTTTGTCATATTTGATATAACTTTTCATCAAAAACTTTCGGCAATTTCAATTTAAAAGATAGACCTTTATTCAAAACATTCAGAAATATTTTCATGAGTCAAACAGGTGCTTTTGTCTCTATGTACTGAGAATGCATGAAAGTATTCACACTAAAATGTAAAATATGAAATCAATTAGTATTAAATTAAAAGAGAGACAAATATATTTCTTACTAAGCAATTTGATTTAAAAAATGATAATTTCCTGCCTTTTGTTAAACACAAGAACCAATCCATAGATGAATCCGGATTCATTCTGAATTTATCATCCACTTGTCACTTCCAGTTTTCTTTTCGTTTAAAAATCGAAAATAAACATGTTCTATTTTCGATTTACAGTCATTAGAATCGTTCCAGTAAGGATTATACATATCCTTGTTTCCAACTTGAAAGAAAAGAATTCCAAATATCGATTTCAACGTTTTTACGAGGATAATGATTATGCAGTAAAATAGTCGTTACAAGTTCATTTATGTTGTGATTCCTGGTTTTAGAAAAGAGGAACGCAACTTTTATTGATCAGGAATGTCCCCTGAAAATAACTGAAGTGAAATTGAGAATTTGATTTCCGGATCCTTGTTCTTATCTTCATATTTAAGCATCACATCAGTCAAATCATGCAATAACCTAAGGCCTTCAAAGATCCTAGTCCTTGAGGGTCTTAGGCATATGTATAGCTAGTAAAATAAGTCCTTGGTCCCTTGCAGTAACCTAAAAGAAAGTTGATTTTCATCTCACGCAAAAGCCCTCAAAATCCTAGCTGAAACCCTAAGTATGACCTTGTGAAATGCCCCCAAAAAGTCAAATAATATTTCAATTGTTACATAAGACAGATACAGATAGCCTTAGTTTGTATAGAGGTAAGCTGAGGCAAACATTTATTTTATATAGTTTGGAGTATAATTTGAAAAAAAATAAATTGGGAATGTGTCCATGGGACACAGATGATGCCCCTGCTTGCATATCATATAAAGTTATAAAGGCACATAACTGAAGAATGGTAAAAGTGACGCTACCCAAATTTGTACTTGATCTGAGTTTTGTGGTAATAAGTATTGTATATAAGTGTCATAACATTTGTTTAAGGCTAACTTAAGTTAGAGAACAGAAACAAAAAATTCCACAATTTTTATGTTTAGAGAGGAACATAACTCAAGAACGGTAAAAGTGACGCCACCCAATTTCAAACTTGACCTGTATTATGTGGTAATAAGCATTGTGTATAAGTTTCATAACATTTGGTTAGGGCAAAATAAAGATAGAGAACGGAAACGAATAAAAGCACAGATGGATACGACCGCAGAGGTCCAACCCTGATTAGTTTGGGCGAAAATGGACACAATATTCACGCTTGATACAGGCATGAATTTGGATTGTAATTAAATATTTGACACATAATAGGTTTCTGACACAGAATAACTGTAGTCAAAGAACTTAGAATTGGTTATATGATTTGAATTTATATTCAATTTTTTGCTTTTGTGCAATACACTATGCTGTTGCGAATTGACCCATCCCCACCCCCCCACCCCCAAAAAAAAAAATTAACCCCCCTTTTTTTTGCTTTTGTGAAATACACTATGCTGTTGCAGATTGACCCCCCCCAAAAAAAAAAATATTTGAAGAAATTTTCTTTATAATTTCTGAAATCGGAAATGAAAAAAAAAAATTGCCCCCCCACAATTTCTTTTTTACCCCCCTCCCCCCCCCCTTTTCCAAAAAAATTTTTTCTTTCCCTCCAGATATGGTCATAATCTCAATTCAAATTTCCAATGGAGTTTGCAACCATAATTACCAATCCAATACATCATAAAAGTCTTAAATTGATAATTTAAAAGCAGTGTAAGGGAGGTAATCCAACATTGTTCAATTTTTGTTTTTGGATTACCTCCCTTACACTGCTTTTAAATTGTCCTTTAACCAGGAAACCCTTGTTTTTCCCCCTTTTTGCCCCTAATTCCTAAATGGTAAGAGCCATAACCCCCCAAAGCCAATCTTAACCATCCCTTTGTGGTATGGAAACTTGTGGTATAATTTCAGAGAGATCCATACACTTAAACACAAGTCATTGTCTGAGAGTTACAAAAATGCTTATTTTTGGCCACTTTTTGGCCCCTAATTCCTTAACTGTTGGTTCCATAACCCCCAAAATCAATCCCAACCTTCCTTTTGTGGTATTTAACCTTATGGTAAAATTTCATAGAGATCCATTCACTTAAACTCAAGTTATTGTCTGGAAACTAAATGCATCTTCGGAAAACGCAGACATGATAGCATTATACGACACAAAAAAATTTTTGTGATCGTATAAAAATTCAGCAATTTTTATGTTTATAAAGGGGGCCTAACTCACGAGCGGTAAAAGTAATGCCACCAAATTTCAACTTGTCTGTATTATGTGGAAATAAGCATTGTGTATAAGTTTCATAACATTTGGTTGAGGCAAACTAAAGTTAGAGAACGGAAATGAAAAATTCAGCAATTTCTATGTTTATAAAGGGGCATAATTCAAGAACTGTAAAAGTGACGCCACCCAATTTCAAACTTGATCTGTACTATGTGGTAATAAGTATTGTGTATAAGTTTCATAACATTTGGTTGAGGAAAACTACAGTTAGAGAACGGAAACGAAAAATTCAGCAATTTTTATGTTTATAAACGGCATAACTAAAGGTAAAAGTGATGCCACCCAATTTCAAACTTGATCTGTATTATGTGGTAATGAGCATTGTGTATAAGTTTCATAACATTTGGTTGAGGCAAACTAAAATTAGAGAATGGAAACCAACTTTGGGACGTACAGACGTACAGGGGTAAAACTTAATGCCCCCTCCGCTACGGCGGGGGCATAAAAACAAGAGGATTTCACTTTTTCACACCAAGACACAATTATTTAAACAATATCAAACCTACATATGTATATTTAGAATATAAAAAAGGACACAAAAATCGTCTTGAACACACATGGCAATCCCAGCTGTACTGTTCAAGTTACTGGATATTTGGCTAATTACAATGTTATACGGTTGTGTAATTACTGGTAGATATGTTCTACCTTAATTTGATGGGTGATTGAAAAGGTGTTAACATTACACATGCAAATAATTAGTTTTAAGGTGATTAAAAAAGGGTGAACAGTCATGACAGTGCATGTGGCAGTATTCTGTAGTAATCATATGTCATGTTCCTTTCAAATAAGTCGTGCATAAGGCATAAGATACATAAATAAATAACAAATGCAAAGAAAAATAAGTGGTAGCTTTTGAATATAAACTGAAATAGTTTGAATTTTAGATTTATCTAAATGTATAATGTGGCTAATAACGTTATTTTAATATTTTTATATTTTTTCATGGAATCTGGTGAAAGCTACTATATGAAAAAAAAAAATTCAAATTCAAATTGATTATTAATTTCAAATAAGGTAGATGCGTGGAGTTCGGTGTATCCATGATCCTTAGACTTTTGGCTTCACTTTTGTAAAATAATCAAACCAATAGTCGGATAATAAATTGTGAACAAATTCATTCCTCATGGCATAATTTAATTTCATGAAATCTTCTTAATGATTTCACCCTTTAAATTTTGTGTAATGTGTGTCCAAAATTAGGGAAATGCCTTTTTTGACAGCTCTACAAATGTCCAACATGTCCAATGATTACGTACAATACATGCCTTCTTAAAAAAGTTGATTTTGAAAAAAAGGAAGGATTTTAAACTACGAAATACAGTCCATTTTGAACCAAACAGGATGCCAAGAATGTGGAGCAAAAGTTTTTTTCAGTTTAATAAAATTTGCTGTAAAATGAAAGCAATTTCTTCTAATGATGTCATAATTTTTAAGGAAAATGGTTAAATATGGTTAATCAGTGGATTGCAAATATAAATTTATGCTTAAACTTATCAATTTTAATCTTTTCTGTCCCTTCAGAAAACTAAAACAATTATAAGAATGATTCTATTTATGTAACATTGCAGATATGACGAAATCAGGTAATTCGCGATATCACCGGCCATGTGGACACAGGGATTACACTGTAAATGTGCCATTGTTTATACACGATTCTTTTAAATAAAGGATTGCGTCTCCCTCATGTATAGCTTGTCCAGTTTTGGCTTTATTTTTGGTCCTTTTTTGATGAATCAGCTCTTCAACATTTGTATTAGGTATTGGATTTCCAAAAATTTTGACCACGAGCATCACTGAAGAGACAAAAGTTGTTGAAATGCAATCTGATGCAGTAAAATTGGCATCTATTTGTAATTATCAAGATTAAATTATTCAAGTAGTAATTATCAAGATTAAATTATTCAAGTATTACAATTTTGATATGGGCTGAATAATCAGGGAGTCATAGGGCTACACCATTCATCATAACAAATTGTAATTATTATTAATTATGAATCTATAAATAAAGCTAAACAGCTTCAGACTAAGCAATGGCCAATGCATTTCCAAATTATTTCTATTTCATTGATAAAATAAATTTACCCCTTTAATTGAATGGAAGAAATTCGTGAACATATTAAATATCATTGGATAACACAGTTGTAGGCAAACAAAACCCTGTCCAAATGGACCCAAATTTTTTACTCCCCTCCCCCTCCCCCTAAAACACATATTTTCAAACAAATGTCTTTATCAACACCCGTCCCGATAAACTGTTTGAAATCTTATACTGTATTAAAATTGCATCGCATAACTAAACTGATTTTCTCAAGTGCTTGTTTTCAGCTTTTTCTGAAAGAAATTTCTGCAATGGACATGTTTGTACAAATGCAAACAAAACTCTTTTTTTATCGCCGGCATTTTCAATATTGTATTTATTGTTGTTCTTAATCTCCAAAGGAGAAAAATTGTCTATGGCTTTATGACAGATTTTGTTTGACATATTTGAAATCTTTTCAAATTTAAGCACCTGGTGGATAATAACGAAGGAGAAATCTTTTCAACTTCATCTTGCTAAGTTGATTTGTGTACGGTATCCAAAAAGAATCAAGATGGAGTACAAAAAATGCATGTTGGGTAATTTACACAAGGGTGATAATCTGTAGTAAATTTAGCGAAAAATTTGAAATACTGATAAATATATAAGAAAAATTTCTGCATAAAACACGTGCCACAAAAAGACATAAATCATTCGAAAAAAGATAATTAGTATAATTTCCAAAATTTTGCATCGGAAAAGTGGAAACAATAAAGTAAATGGAAAAAAATTTGAGGCCTAACTATGTGAGAGAAAAACAGGAGAATAAATGTGGAAAAAAGCTTAAGAATGTGGGGGGTTCAAGAATAGAGAATAGTGGGGTTTTAAGATACAAAGAATACAGAACAATTGACAAGCGAATAAAAGAATATGCGGGAAATGGCCAGTAAAATAAAGAATACACACCCCTAGCCAGACCCTTATAAGTGATATTTATACCAATCAAGTAAATCTGTATTTGCACACGAAGGGACTAGATTAGTAAATTTTACAATCGAAACAGGGCATATCCAGATTGACTTTTGAAAGGTGACCAGTACATATCCATAAATACAATGAACCTGGCGATGATTACTTAATCAAATCATAGACCAGTAAGGATTTACTTATTATAACAATGGACTAATAGATAAACGTATTAGTCCCGGATATTACAAAATTGTTTGAAAAACATATTTGACTGAATTCATCAATTATAAATCTTTGTTTAATCAATTTTTATCCTGATTATATACATGCATTCCGTAGAAGTCATCGATGACTGAGATCTGGGTGGGGTTTACAGAATAGAGGGTAATGCACATGTAGGCGCTTTGGTACATGATTTGGATACATTCACTGTTTGCATTGATTATTCAATTTTCTATTTTATACCAATACTTGACACTACTATGCTTGTACTACCTTGTTTTGAGTGAATTTATTTTACTACTTATACGAAAAACGTTGTTAATCAATATCTATTCTTAAAAGTTAAATATTAGTTTCACAGTGTAAGATCTGAATTTTGAATGTTCATATAGTTTGATTTTTATCAAAAGTTTCATTTCCAATTACAAATACCTGAAATTTATCAGAATTTGCCTACATATTTCTGATCTTAAACCATTCAGTGAACCTGGGTAATTGATTTAGCTTCCAAAGTTGATTTCAATGTAGCAAAATCAGGATTACAAAAAGAGAAGGTATACTAACCATCTAGGGAGTTTTGCTTAAAGCAATATATATTTATATATTTGACGAAAAACAATGAATAAAAAGGGTACCGATTGAGCCATGTGCATGACACACTTTTATTGCAAAGAATGCTGCTAACTGTATTCTGGTAGTCAAACATGATTTGTGGAGATTAAATGATTTTGAAAAAAAAAACACTTGCAAACAATTTGTCAAATAAATTATTGTGAGGCAGACAGTTGAAAGGAATAAACAGATCCACAAGTACTGCGGAAACAAACTTATTGAATCAAGTGATTCTGTCTAGTCTTCTGCAGCCTTAACAGTATGGTCTGACACCCAATACTACAGAAAGTTTTATTCATTAAGTAATTTACTACCTTATATTGCTACTTTGTAGTCAGTCAGCTTTGTGAGAGTAAAGTCGAAGGATTTTAACACAACGACAAATCAAATCTTAATTTACGAAGAACTTATTTATCAACAAACTTACAAAAGCCCGTATATTTCGCTAATAAGATTTGATCCTCTTAAAGAGTATGGAGCAACAGTATTGGACGTTTACCTTACATTGTAACAAACATCAACAAACTGGAAAAGATATAACGACCAACATCACGATTGACTACAGGTGAATATAAATCTAGGTAGGATGAATACATTTAAAACTTGCAAAACTGGAACTGAAAAACTACAGGAAAGCGAACTAGTAAACAAAGACAAAAGACAAACAACAGTGCACAAAACACAAATAGAAAACCAAACATTGAGCAACACGAACCTCTTAAAAGCTCGGTGGTGATCTCAGGGGCTCCACATACGGCCCCTGTCGTGTTACTCCTGTAAGTACAAACCCGGTGATAATTCTTATTCGGTAGGTCACTTTTCGTAAAAAAAGAGGACGTGACTGTGGTTACGACAATTGGAACATATCCGTCGTCATTTGTGAAACAGATATTCCATAACGATCATCCAACTCATGATGGCTCCCGTAAAATTTTTGAAAGGATGATTTCAACTTCACCACTAGGTACTCTTGATTTCATGGCCTCTTTGTAAGCAGCAACCCTCTTTGAAGGAAATCCTGATAAGAAATGCAAGCTCTGGAACATCGTATCAACTGGTATACATATACTTCATACGCAGGCGTTGTTGGAATGTTGCTACATAGAAATGAAAAATTCGCAATTTGGAAGATGAAATCATCTCTTTTGTCGTAAAGTTTTGTTCCCAACCGACCCTCATTGCCAAGTTCTAGATGCAAATCAAGATTGAACGCTAAATTGCTCTTTTATAGGCTTTTGTAATAATTATATTACCGTTTTCTGCACTAATGGCGATTTTCTTACAAATCTATGAATTATATAATGTTCTCAAGACAATCAATAGTGGAAACTTTAGAAAACTTGATTCGTCTACGCAGTACTGGCAACAATGTATGAATGTCACATTGACATTTTAATGGCATCAATTCCAGATGCAGGAAAATCTACAAATGCGCTTCGTACGCACCAAATTTAAAAAAAAAGTGTTATTTTCATTTACTAGTTCTGCGTTGGTATCGCTACTAGTGGACTACATCAGTGCCCGAGGGTATATGATTAGCCCAGTAGTCAGCAGGCATGGGGTAATCGTAATTAGTTGTAATCAATTACATTTTGCAATGTAATCGCATGTAATCGTGCAGTAATCATGCGATTTCTGATTACAAGTAATCGTAATTTAGTCGATTACAATGTAAATATCAGGTGTAATCATGACTACTTTTAGAATACTTAAGATTAAATTCATATGATTACTTGCTGATTACAAATTTGTATATGAAAATAACTTTTGATATATAATATAAAAATAAGAAGATGTTAGCACATACTTACAACTTCTCGTCCAATCAAATTGCTTATATTTGCCTTCTAATTTTCATAGTACATACTTTTCCTGTGTACTAAGTAACTACGCATGAATGACCACAAGGGTAAGATTTCATTGTATTGTAATCAAGATATTTAAAACAAAAATTGCCACTGGCTATTTTGAAATAAAATGCTGTGTTCCAAATTAAATTAAATAGTTTGTAATTAGTTTTCACATTGATTTTTAAATATCCTGCTATTAAAATCTTTGGATCTAAAAAATGTTTTTGACAATAGTAAATGTTATCATTTAAATAAAGGGTAATACATATGGTTCTTTATACCTTGATTAGAGTACAACGATATCTTAAAATTATGATAATGTATCATCCATGCAATTACTTTGTACACAGAAAAGTGTGTACTATGAAACCTTGTGAAGGAAAATTAAAGCAACTTGGTGATAATTTGTTAAACTTTCTTAAGGAAAGTGATCTATTTCGTCATGAATTGATTGATTTATTGATTATTGGTTGCTTAATGTCCAGTGGCAAATATTTCATGCATGTTCAGGACGATGTCATGGATTGAAAAACTGTGATTATGTCTGAAGATAATGTGCAAGATATATATATATATATAAACATATTCTGATAAATCTTTTAGTTTTTACTTTGAACTAATAAAAAAAAACAACACAAAACCTATAATCTCTGATCTATTTGGAGTTGCTTTTTAATGCCTATCTGCTAGACTATATCTTTGGGGACAAACTATCTATATGTTTCAAATTTATTATAGCTTTAGTTTTACTGTGAAATTAAAAAATGTTTTCAAAACATGTAAAGCTTCCACTGCAATTTAATTATTGCCTGCTTTTGGTCAATTTATTTTGTCATCTTACCTTGTATGAAGAACATGTATAGTAAAACACCGCTTTATATCAGTATACATACTTACACCAGTAGCTACCATCTTTTCATTCTGGAGTGAAGGGCCTTTTGAAAAAACATATTTTACAATGATACTAGTGAGTAGATTTACAAAACTCGTTAATGAGCTCCGTTTTACAAACACCTGTGATACAAGTAGTCAGCCAAAACAAACTATCAATAGACCAATTAAAAGATTACTCGAGTTGTAAATATGTGCTAAATTGGATAGTCTATGGAAAGGTATATACTATGAAATTAAGAGCTCGGGGCAAGCCCCTCGTTCTAAATTTCATAGTATATACCTTTCTATAGACTAACCTAGACTTAAAGTATGAACGAAAAAAAATATCAAAATATTATTCACTATAATTGAACATAATTCAATATGATTGATCATATCTTCTATATAACTAGTTTAGTATAACCAAGTTGGGCAAGTAGAGTGGAAATGTGTGATTAATTTTGTAAACAGTACTCTAAAGGAAGTAACCTTTCCAAATGTTTCTTTCTGAGATTGAGTCCTTGTGATAAAAGAATATGCTTTGAAAGCATTTTATGTTCGCTGATGGAATACTTCTGATATTAACTCTAATTTTAGTTTACACAATGTTTTGTTATAACTACAGGAATATTCAATAGCATAGAACGTTAAGGGAATTTAGTTCCAATTTTGACTTTGATGATCAAAATAAATCAGCCCACTCATTTTTAATTATTAATTGAAATTTGTTGTTTTTACAATTTGTAGAAATTTTGTTTTCCATAAATCATTTAACATGTGCTTTCTAACCGTATAATAGTATTTGAAACAATTATATACGTTATGAAAATTAACTTCTTATAACTTTATTGATATTGCAGTTACAAGGCAATTAATTTTTAATACCCAAGCTCACGTATTGTTTGTCAAAAGTATTGAAGTAATGATTAACACCTGTAAAAACATATGTATGTGTCAATTATATCCCCACAGACCATAAAACTGCTTAACTTGAAATGTTAACACGAGGCTTGAAAGAAGTAGACGTAAAATACTGAGCTGCGAGTTTCTGAGA